AAACCACGAGAGATACACAAAAAATGAATACCTGAGCAAAGCCTTAACATTGGGCCTGGGTCGATGCAAGCCTGCCTGAGGAAAGGTCCAGTCTCGTGGTTTTCTTGGAAACAGGAGGGTTCAGGCACATGGGGAGAGTTGAATCTGCCCCTCTGGACCCTATCAGCTGGTATGCTGACCTTGGGCCCACTTGACCAGACGACATAACAGACTGGAGGGCAAAGGGAGCTGAAACTTACCCATGCTGGGGTGACCTAAGATGCTTTGGCATCTCTGTGGAAGCTGCACACGTCTGTGGCAGGTAAGGGGCAGTAGCTGTGGGTTAAGTGCTGGATTTGGGCAAGTGCTGGGGCAGGCCTCAGAGGACAGGAAAATGCTGTCCCTACCCCATCTGCTGCCTTCCGTATCCTCCTGTAAAGCTCAGTAAACAGCCCTGGATGATGCCTACTTGAGTCTCTGAGTCTCAGCGAGAACCTGTCCCTGCAGCAGATGCTGTGCCCAGTGACAGGGCACAAAGCCCCCTTCAAATGTCCACAGTCAGCACGAGAGGACCTTTAGAACAGGCTTCCCCTGACCAGCCCAGTGTGCACTTTTAACATAGACCTGTAAGGAAGTATTTATTTAAACAATGCTAGCATAACACACAAAATGGAGCTGCAGATGAGAACTAGTCTCAGAAAACAAGCGGGTGATTTCAGTGCAGCAGCCACACCCTTCACCCGATACTCTCACCTGAGCCCACCCAAGGGGCTCCCTCCCACCGTTCTGCAGAGCCTGAAGACCATCGGCAGTTCCACCATCCGACCTCAGCAGCGTCTGAGGTGAGAACTCCCCGAAAGACTTTCTTCTTCCTGGGGCTTCCAGGAGATTTTTCCTCCCCAACCTCCTTTTCTGGACCGCTGCCCCCGCCCTGCCTTTCACCTGCTCTGCCCACTCCACTGTGATGCTGCCTAGCACTGGCCTCAGTCCTGGCTCTCTTCAGACCCACACACATCCTTTCAGAAGGTCCCGGTTTAAGCTGCTTGGCTTTAACTGATGGTTCACAAATCTCAATTCTCCAGCCCTGACTTCTCCCCTTAGTTCCCCATTCCAATATTCAACCATCTATGTGACATCTCTACTTGTTTATCTGAACTATATCTCATTTAAAATGGGAAAAAATTAAACTCTAAAATTTTAACAAGCTTATTTTTTGCCTAGTTTTCCACACCTCAAAATACCAATTACAGAACTGCAGAGAGGGCAATCCCAATTCTTACTCCCCCCTCCCCGCCCCGGGGGCAATCAATCAGCAACACAACCACCTGGTCTGAGGCAACACAGTCTCTGTGGGCACTTCAAACTTCAGCCAGCTTCAGCTGGCCTTCCACCAGCATCCAGTCACCAGACAACACACATTTATGTATGAGAGCCTGTTAACCTCTTGCACAAAATCCTCCAAAGATTTCTTACCACACTCACAATAAAGTCCCAAGTCCTACTCTTCTGGCGGGGGATGTCTCACTGACTCTTCTCACAATCCTCAACAGCAGCTCACTGCAACCAGGACCCACCACCTTTCTGTTCCTTCAACAGGCGAAGGCCCTGCTCACCTCAGAGCCTTTCCATCCTTAGCCATCACTTGCTACTTCATTCAGGTCCCTGCAAGGGTCCCTTGCTCAAAGGCTTTCTCTTGACTCGAACTAAGGTGTTCGCTCCCTGCTAACTGTACCCCCACGCACCCCCAGCCCCCACTCTCATTCTGTCTGCTCTTATCACCACCTGGAATTAGGGTTTTGTCTGTCTGCCCACAGAATGTACACACTATGAGGGCAGGGACTGCACCTCTACATCTGTTGAATAATTGACTCATGTAGTTTAAAGGGTCTTATGAACTGCGAAGTGTTAAGCATTTCAAGTTCTTTTGTAAGGGGGTGGGATTATAAATAAAATTCAAATGTATTTATGATTATTAGTATAACAGGATCCACTGCTAACTTTCCTTTCTGAAAAAACTAGAAATTACAGAGGGCAGACTACCAGCTCTCCAATGCTCTGCTGGTCAAAGCCAGCATTTGAAGACGCAGCGACAGCTGCACACGAGCCACAATTCTCCAGGAGGCCAGTTTTCCATCATCCTCATATCTCAGCCCAGAGAATTTCCTTCACTGCTTCTCCCAAGAATTACTTTGGTGGCTCGGAGAATTAGGTCAGAAACTCTCGCCTGGGTGCATAATACATGCCTGCAATTGCGATTTAAAAACTATTCTCTGTAGATAAACAAAATATACCTTCGTTTTAGAGGAAGTTATGGGTTAAATAGAAGGCAACAAGGCCTGGTACAATTCCGCTCCTCTGCACAATGACCGAGGAGGACAGGAAGCTGCCCAGTCGGCTTTCTCAGTGTCCGGTGATAACACACAGCTGTGTAGCCACCCCATTCATTCCAAATGATTGTTTTTCCCACCCAGGCTTGTTCTTCTCACCATCCTCATCTTATTTAAGGATCCATATTCCCCTGAGCTAATCAATCAAGCTATTTACTTAGCTGCATGGATTTTTAGCAAGTCACCTCATCTCTCTATGGACTTTACATAATATGGGTAAAAATCATACCTACACAATAGGATTTTGTGAAGATTAATCAAAATAATGTACACAAAACATTTGAAATTGCTACTATATAGCACACACTCAATAATATGTAACCATTATCATTTATCATTTACCAAATCTGTCCCCAAATCCTAGCAATTCGATGTCCAGAAAGGCTCTTATCTCCATCTGGTGTTCTCCACAACTACTGTCACTATAACATGGGGACAGTTTATAAACTGTCGTAACAGTCATCCATTCTTCCCAGAAGCTGTGTAACTAAAACACATCTGATTTTGTGACTGATGCTAAAACTCAGTAGAAGTTTCTTAGCACCATTGTGTAACAGAGCACGTATTTTTCAAAAACTTAAATGAACCAGTGACATCTAACTGGCTTCTAAAGAGAAGTTTTAGACAAGGGATAAAAGTTACTGTGTAACAACCAGTTTACACACATTGTTTTAAATCCTCACAACCCCAGGAGGTGGTTTTTTTCCAATTTCTTTTTACAGAGGCTCAAAGGTTCAGCGATGTGGACAAAGCTCAGTGAGCTCAGGCAAGGGGACCCCACATCGCCTCCTGTCCCCAGGCATCCATTCTGTGTTCTGACTCAGGACCTCTTAACCTGAGTACATGGAATTTGAGGTGGGTTTCAGGAATTCCTGTGGAGCTCATGAAATTGTTAAACGATAAATTTCAATGGTAAGGTAAAATTATGAGTCTTGTACAAAGAGATTTTTCAGTAATTAATCAGGGAAATAGTAGTTTTAAAAACCAAAGGCAAATTAAAAAATCAGACACACACAAATATTGGGTTGGCCAAAAAGTCCACAGTGTTTTCTCCATAAGATGGCCCTAATAGTGATTAGTCATCTTTAACTTCTTTCAAAACAATTTTGTTAGACTGTATTGTGACAGTCATATCAGCGTGCATTAAAAAAAACTTATCAAAATTGAATTTTTGTGTAGCCATTTTAATACTGAAGGTTGAAGAAAGTACACAATATTTTCGGCATATTATGCTTTATTTCAAGACAGGTAAAAACACAACTGAAACGCAAAAAAATGATTCCTGCAGTGTATGGAGAAGGTGCTCTGTGACTGACCAAACATGTCAGAAGTGGTTTGTGAAGTTTCTTGGTATTGTTGACATTTTGGCCAGATGACCCTTTGCTGTGGGGCTCTTACACATTGGAAGGTGTTTAGCAGCACCTCTGCCCTCTGCCCCCTGGAAGCCAATAGTGGGAGGGAGCCGACATATTCAAATATCCAGCTCAATGACGTTACTGGTGAAAATGAAAAACGTGTATTTTATGGGAAAAAACCTATCGGGCTTTTTGGCCAACCCAGCATAAGCACCGAGGAAGGCTGAAATAAATTGGTTAATAGATGCAAAACTGGTCAGGGAAACAACTGCAGAAGGTATGAGCTGCAAGACCAATTCCACTGTTACCGTTTTCTGCAAGTTACCCAGTCGCAAAGCAGCCCAACGACTGCGAAGGGCACCGAGCACCTGGAAGAGTGGTAGACAAGACACCAGTATTTCCTCTTCTCCGCCACTTCAAAGGCTCACAATCTCTCCTGGCAAGCTCTGTGCACGTGTCTTGACACTTGCACGCATTTCCCCGGGAAAGCCTGTCCGTGGTTTTTAAGGAACATGGTGCGCTGAAAGGGCTGACAGCCGTGGCGCTGGACGCCGCTGACTGGCCTCTGCCTTCGGTGCCAGCCTCGCCGCCTCCACGCCAGGTAACGACCCTGCAGCGCGCCCCCCCCCCCACCCTGCACTCGGCGCACCGGGTTTGCGTCCTTACGCAAGGGCTCAAGTCCTGACAAAGAAAGTGACTTAGAGGGAAGATTCAGGTCCTCATTTCCGATCTCCTTGGGCCACCACAGCTCAAACCTGTGACGTAGCCCAGCTTCCCCTCCGACTCCCGCCCTAGCCACCCGGTCCCAGGCGGGGACGCAGCGGGACACCCGGCCCGCCTCCGCCCCCCAGCCCCGCGCGTGCGCACTGACGAGCTCGCGGGGGCGTGGCGGGGAGACAGACAACGGGATGCACTGACCTATATCCCCACCTGAGCCGCTTCGGGCCCAGTGGGAACTTACTCCTTTCAGGTCCCAAAACACAGGCCAGAGACGCGTCCTGGAGCCCTTTCCGTCTCCCGAGTCTCACAGTCGTGGTTGTGACCGCGTCATCGGACCAGCGACACCTCAGAAAGCGACAGGGTCTCCCGGACGCCTCAGAAAGACGCTCCGAGGCGTAGCGCCGTCGCTACGTCCCAGGCGTGCGGCTCAGGGGCGGGGCGTCGGAGCTGGAGGCTAAGTTTGATTGGCGGGTGGAGATGGCGGCGCGGGCGGAGCGTCGGGTCGGCTCCTGGGTAGTGACGTGAGGACCCTTGGCGGGAAAATTGGAAGTGGGTTTGTGCCCTGGATGGGAGACGTGCGCGCGTCCCGGCTTCCCGGGACTGAGGGCGTGGGAGCCGAGGCGGTGTCGCCGGCCGGGGGGAAGAAACGGAAGAGGCGACCGCTGAGCGGGCGGTGAGAACGCCGTGCAGGGCGGGTGGTCCCGGGGTGCGGGCCCCGCAGACGCGTCCTGGCTGACGCGGGGGCGGGGCCTGGGGCTCCTCATCCCTGGTGATACAGGGCTCGGCCGGTGAGATGGGGCCGCCCGTTAACCGGGCTTTCCTAAGAAACCATCCGAGTTAGGGATTCGGAAGGAAGACCAAACACGTGTGGCACTTCCCGGAAACAGTGGCCCGGACGTGGCGAGAGCGCCGAACGCTCCGCGGGGTGTGCTAACTGCACGTCGTGCGAGCGGGCTGGCGGCTCCGCACTTCGTGGCCGTCCCCTCCCCCTTTGAAAACACTTCCGTGCGTTTGAACTGTCTCCTAGCGGTGGGTCGACCCGGGAGACCCCGGGATCGTTTGACAGGTGGACAGATGGGGACTTGCTGGGAATGTCCTGACACGTCTCGTAGATACCTTTCCCCCGTTAAATGGTAAGGAAGAGGTGTTGGCTCTTTTTTGAATGTAGAAAGTAAGGCTCTTGTGAATATTCTAAAATCCAATCAGCCTTTGTGTTTGAGGGTTGATCCTTGCCGTCTAGCTTGCCACTTAGGAGAGTTTTGACCCTTTCACTTTCTTTTAGGTTGTAACTCCCACAAGTAAGACCTTTAAATTAGGAAAACAAGGTATCGTACTGGCAGGTCCTGAACAGCCTCTGAGGCATCCTGATCTGTCGGTTGTGGTGCCCGCGCCGGCTCTCCTGGGCGATGGACGATGAGTGTCCGGTCCAGCCCCGCCCGGCACAGTGGGCGCTCGGTCTCAGCCGCGGAGCGGCCACTGTGGGGCACCAGCACCAGAGTCCTGACTGCTTAGTCTTGAATTCTGAACCTTCCTTGTACTTTAGGGTCTTATAAGTTGCATAAGCAACTTAGGCAAATTGCTTATCTACCATGTACTACAGTTTCCTTTTTTTGTAAAATGAACGTAAAACAATAGTATCTGCACCTGTAAGGTTACGAGCATTTTGCCAGTGTCTGGCATATGCTTGCACTGAATAAATGGTAGCTGTGGTTACAGAGAGCTGATGGGGGTCCCTGCCATGTGCCTGACACTGTCGGCCATCTCATGGGCATCTGCAGAATGTGAGTCCTGCCCGGTGGCTGGGGCCTGGTTGTTCCCGAATTGGCAGTGAGTGCCTTGTTTCTCTGGACCTTCCTAACCCTAACCCTTGGCACCAGCACCTGCAGTGAGCTGGAGGGATGCAGGATGTGGGAGCTGTGTTTCTGAAAGGCAGTGTGATGCCTCTCTGGGTCTGCGCCCGGTCCTGCGACCTGTGTCACGGAGCAAGCACTCATGCTGCATCAGCCCACCCCAGAGCAGTCTTTGTAAGTCCCAGGTCAGGCTGTCATCGAGCGAAAATCCTGTGGTGGCCTCCTCTTGTCTTTAGACAGAGTCAAAACCACTCGGCATAAGATGGAAGAGCCTCTGAATCCTGTTACTGTTGTTCGCTTTTTCAGTCGCTTACACTTGATGCCTTAATTGCACTACTCCGAGTCTCCTGATCGTGCCTTGCTGATTTCCGCAGGTCTGTATATGTACATATTGATTCCTATTTGGAAGTACCGTCCTGCCATCTTCCATGGTTAATGGTATTTGCGCTACGGCTAGACATTGCGTCCTTCCAAAAGCCTTGTTTGATGAGCTGGGTGTCTCCCTCCCCCATGCTCATTCCTTTCACATTTTATTGTAATTACTGTTCATCGCTGCAATACTGAAAATTTTTTGAGGTTAAGAATAGTGTTTTGTTCACTTTAGTCTGTCAGGTAGTAAGTACTAAGTAAATGTGTGTAATTTATAAGTAATTTGTAGAGACCTGCTTTATATGTATAAATGAGAAATGGAATCCAGAATTACAAATTACAGCTTTATTGAAACGCCCCCACCCCTGCCCTGGCCTTGAGGCCAGGGGCTCAAACCCAAGCCTATATCAGTGTCACCTGCAGGGCTTGTTGAAACACTGCTGGGCCCTGACCCCACACTTCATGATTTCATAGGTCAAGGGTGGAACCCAAGAATTTGAATTTCTGACTAGCTACAGGTGATGCTGATGCTGTTGGTTCAGGGGTCTTATCATTGGAACCAAGGCTTTAGGGAAAAAATAATTTTCTTTGGCATCTTGGCGTCTTCAGCAGTGATTTTAGATTTCTAAATTTGCCCACAATACCAATTTTATCCAGTGACATAGAATAACTGCAGAACTTGCTGCAGCAATATTGAAAAATTTTTTCCTTGCAGAGATTATATATATATATCTGGCATGAGATAGTGTGGTATATTGACTTTTCAGATGTAAAAGGAAAAATGTCAAATACAAGGGGGCCCTCTTGTGGTGACAATAGCAATTCACAAAACTTGAAAAATCAAAGCTCTACATAAAGAACCCAACCTGGGGGCAGGAGGACTTGTATTTCTGATACATGTTATGGTACCTGGAGAAATTTTTGCAGACTTCTAATCATTTACTTGTTTTACTTTGTTTTCTTACCTGACAAATGAGAGTGCTGTCCCTCTCATTGTGTCCCCAGGGGCAGGTAATTGGACAAAACCTGGGTTTACCTTGGTAACTCTCTGACTCCTCTCTTGAGTCAAGAGTTTGTGGGGAAAATTACACTTGATACTTAGTTTTTTCATCAGGGTTGAGTATTCTTTGTCATTTTTCATTTTAGGTGTTATAAATAGTTGAATAACCACTGATTATTTTCTGGACCTTTATTGTTTATAACTTCAGAAGAAACCATGGAAAACCAAGAATTTATTGTAAGTCTTACCTCTATTCTTTTTCTTCCTTCCACATTTTACAAATTTTGCTAGAGTTTCCATATTTAGCAAAAAATCCTGAAGTTTAAAAGCAGGACTCTTGGTTAAATTTGCATATCAGACAAACAGTAAAGAATTTTGTGGTTAAAGTGTTTGTGTTTCAAACATTCCCCGATAGTTTAACTGGCAGCCCTTTCTCTTGTCTACTATGCACATTTGTGTTACAAAGTCCTTTAGAACAACATCTGGGGAAGCTTCGGGATCAGAAGGTAATTTACTTCTCTTGCAGGACTGGTGCACCTTTTCTATCTAGACCTGTGGTCTTAAACTGTTTGGTCTCAGGACCCTTTTCTATTCTTGAAATTATTGAAGACCCCAAAGAATTTTTGATTATGGGGCTTACATCTATTGATCCTTTTTATATTAGAAATGATAAGAGAAATTTTAATAGTACTTATTAAAAATAATAAACTTATTACATTTCACATAAATTACATTATGTAAAATGGCTATGTCTTCCAAAACAATTGCAATAACAAACATTGACAAGAGTAGCATTGTTATACATTTTTTGCATATCTATCCCCTTAACAATTGACTTAATTCTCAGATCTGCTTCTGCATCCAATCTGAAATTGAATCTTACTGTGTTGCACATGAATAACCTATACATAACTCCACTATGCTTTCCCTAAGGAATGAGAGGGGAAAGGCAAGTAACTTCCTGAAATTAGTTTTGACCTCACAGATCCCAGAGAAGTCTTAGGGACCAGCAAGTCTCTGGACTGCACTTTGGGAATTCACAGAGTGGGAGTACTGTGTAACCCAACACATTTTTCCCTTCCCACGATGACTAAGAAGCTCAAAATTAGTTTTGTTACTCAGTTAACTTCAGTTTTTACTTAGATTTTACTTCTCTTTTCTCTCCTCACTTACTTTTTACTACCTAGTTTTTTTAAAGATTTAATTTATTGCCCTGGCTAGTGTAGCTCAGTGGATTGAGTGCCAGCCTGCAAACCAAAGGGTCGCTGGTTTGATTCCCAGTCAGGGCACGTGCCTGGTTTGCAGGCTAGTCCCCAGTTGGGGGCGTGTGAGAGGCAACCAACTGATGTTTCCCACTGATGTTTCCCTTGCACATCAATGTCTCCTTCTCTTTCTCCCTTCCACTCTCTCTCTGAAAATAAGTAAATAAAATCTTTACCAAAAAAATTTATTTTTAGAGTGAGAGGGAGAGAAACATCAGTGTGCAAGAGAAACACTGCATACTCCCTACTCGCATACTCCCTACCAGGGGATGTGGTCTGCAACCAGGCATGTACCCTGACCAAGAATTGAACTGGCAACCTTTCAGTTTGAGAGACAACACCCAACCCACTGAGCCACACCAGCCAGGGCTGTATTTTTTTTTAAATGCTTTTTTATCATTGTTACAATATCTGTGCTTTTATTTTGATAAAAGATGTCTTAAATATATTTTGTTTGTAGAAGGGTATAAAATATATAACATTTAATATTTATAAATAGAAACCATTTCTTTATGCTTTTGGATATAAGGTACTATATACTCATCAAAAGATGAAGAAATCAAAAGTGTGGCAAGATGGCATTCTGAAGATCACTCACTTAGGAAACAAAGTAAGTACAAAGCCATCGATGACAGAAATCAGGAACTCTATGTCTAGTTTCAGTAACTGCAGTCCATATGAGGTCATGTCCTTTAGAGAGGGTTGGTATTTGGATATCTCTATATCACGTCATTATAATTTTTTCTTTTCTTTTTTATTGAATTTATTGGGGTAACATTAGTTAATTCTTCTGATTTGAACAGATGAATGTTTAGCCTGTCCCCATCTACGTATCTATCTATATCTATATTTTTACATCCTTACCTGAGGATATATTGATTTTATAGAAAGGAGAGAGAGAGAGGGAGAGGGAAAGAAAGAAACATCAATGTGAGAGAGAAATAGCAATTACTTGCCTCCCATATGTGCCCTTACAGGGAATCGAACCCACAACCTCTTTGGTGTATGGGGACAATGCTCCAACCAATTAAGTCACTCAGTCAGGGACCCCATTTATGTATTTTTTAGTCGCTTGTCTTAAACTAATTAATTCATTCACTGTTCAATGTTATTCTGTATAGTTTTTTCTTTAATATTCTTTCAGTTTGGTTAGAGCCAAGTCTTCAAAATCTTACGGAATTTGTGTTATATTAAAAAGACGTCTGACTGGACTGTGAGTGTCCTTCATGTCTTCTTGTGATACAAAATCATAATATTAAGGTCAAGCTAGTGGTTTCCAACTTTTATTACCTCATGTATTTATGTCTCCATTATACACCTCACACAGGTGGATTACAGGAGCTCAAGATACCATATTTTTTGGACTATAAGATGCATTCCCCCAAATTTGGGAGGAAAATTGGGGTGCATCTTATAGTCCGAATGTAGCTACCTGGCTTGCAGCAGGGGGCAGCGGTGGTGGAGTGAAGTCACAGGTTATTAAATATTTTACCACATTTTTTGCTTCAAAAATTTTTTTCCTATTTTCCTCCTCTAAAACCTAGGTGTATCTTATGGTCTGGTGATTCTTATTGTCCTAAAAGTACGGTAAATTCAAATTAGCCCCAGAGGTTTTCCATGATTCCACTATTAAGTGATACTTAATAACTTAATAGTATCACTATGTCCTTAGCCACTGCTCACACTAATCCTCTGCTCTAGTAAGGCCTTTTTCTCTGCCCATGCAAATTCTTGCTGTCTTCCATGAACTGGGTCATCATTCACCAGACATTGCTGGTTGGCTCGTTGGTCAGGAAAGGGACAGAGTTCTGTGTGTGCCTCTGCTCCCTTCACAGAGTGAGGGGCGTTGAAGACAGACACGCTTGCTGATCCAGGTCAACAAAGCGGGTGATCCTTTCAGGGTATGATTTACAGACAGAACAATTTTAGATTTGCTTTTGAAGATGTTTAAGAAAAGCAGAATTGTGTTCCATTTTAACATTAATTTTGTTTTAATACAGGCAATCTTATATGATGACAAAGGACAATGTTTGGAGAGTTTATTTCTGAAGTGTCTTGAGGTATTGTAATGTGTCTACCTTATTTTGAGTAGGGTTTAAAATCTTTAAATATTTTTTTCTATGAATGTTGTTAAATAGTATAGTTAAGGTACTAATACTGATCATTATAGCTAGTGTTTATTGAGCATTTATTATTAGCCAGACTCTGTGCTAGAAGCTCTTAGATATTGTTGGCTGTGACGCTCACACAGCCCCGTGACTGCAGATTAGGAGTGCAATGTGGAAAGCTGGTAACGAGTCCACGTTAGTGTGGCCATGGTGGGGCTGGGCTGTGAGCCCAGGCAGTGACTCTAGTCTGATTCTATGACATGGTTTTTGACGGGCAGAGCATGACAGTAGGAACTATTTGTGGAGTTACTCCTTTTTAAAAATCTTGTCTCGTACATTGGTTCTGTGTTTCCTGTTGGACTGGGAAGGGAAGGGGACCAAAGGCAGGTTGAGTGTGAAGACTTCAGACGGTGAGCTGCGTGTTCCAGGTCATTTCCCACTCTCCTATCCTCCTGCAGCTCAGCGTACGTGTCTGACGCCCCTCTGGGACATGCCAGTGTGGACAGACCGCTGGCCCGGCTGCATCTGGGGAAAGCGCAGTTCAGCACAGGGACTATAAAGGTGTTGAGACATATCTAGTCATTGTGCTGATGTGGGCCATAGAATTTAATCTACTTTTAAATTTTATGTGACACTAATAGTGCTTGTGATATTTCTATCAAAAGAGGGTCTAGAAGCACTGTTTTAATTGGTGCTTCATTGGTGGTAACTCCTGTTATTTCATTTAGAATCATTTTACTAATTAAGCACATTATCTGTGATAGTACACAGATTTTATCAACTAGGTTAGTAATTTTATTTTTATGCTACAGTCAGAGATGGTGGCAAATGTTATACTTTGTTTTCTTCGGTGATTAAAATACTTTTTTGTAATATGGCTTAAGCAACTAATAATTTATAATACTTGTGATACAGATATATATTTGATAGTTAATAGCTCTAGTTTTAAAAATTACAGTTAGTTGTATGGATTCTGCGTGAACTTGAGAGGAGCTGTACCTTCCTCGCTTCCCTTTGTACCTGCAGCCTGTCACAAAGGGCCTCCTGTAGGTTCCCGGTGTAGAGTTGCATAAACACATTCGTGACGTTTTTGTTATATTATTATCCTTTTTTTGTGCATGTTGGTACTTAACTAGTACATGATAATAAATAAATAATTTAGATACTGTCCATTATGTCTTACTAGTGCTAGTAAGCTTACAAGAACACATAAGCCATCAAATAATTAGATGTATGTGATTTTGACATTTGTTCTTTAACATCTAGGTGAACCCTGGAGATGACTTAGAAAGTGATCGGTACTTGATCACAGTGGAGGAGGTTCGAGCTGCCGGAAGCAGAGCTGTTCACCAGAAGGTTGACCAAGAGGCGTCCGCGCTCCGTCCAAGGCAGTTGATGTCCTCTGGCCGGTCCCTCGGATGCCAGCCTGCTGGCTTGAAAAGGAAGTTCACTGTAAGTTCTCTGTGAAAGCACTGGCTCGGTGTACACCTGGGAAGTCATTTCAGGAAGCAGTGAATTTTGAAGTGGTTGTAGTCTCATTGACGTGGCACTTCATAGTAGATGCTTAGATAGAAGGTAAAACCTAATAAAAACTCTTAATAAAACTCTTAATAAAAATGAGTTTATATTTTAACTCTGCAAACCTTATGTCTTAATTATTACTTTACCTTACAAAACATACACATTCCTTTTTAGCCTGTTCATTTCACATTTTTTTATAGGCAATGGAATAGCTAATGATTGTTTTAATATTTTTAGGGTTTTCAAGGACCACGTCAAATGCCAAAGAAAATGGTTATTATGGAAAATGGTGAACCCACTGTGTCACCGGAGGCTGCAAACCCTGGCCCTATTTTTCTTTCTCCATTCTTGAGGGTACCTCCTTTGTTTTCTGTTGCTGGCAAGAAAGACGTAAACAGTGTTGCAGCAGACCCTGAGGACAGAGGACAGTTCCTCTCCAAGGACCGAGGGAGAAATGGCCCGCCTCTCTCTTCAGTTGGCTCAGCCCAGTCCTCCAGGGGTGACCTGGAGGTGCTGTGGGGAGGGGAGCAGTCCGTCTCTTTACTGGCCAGTGAGCCCATGGAAAGAGGTAGTTTGGCATCTCACTGTTTAGGAGCTGCACAGAATGTCAGGAGCAAAGCACAGATCCTAGCTCTTCTGAGGTCCAGATCTACTAGTACGTGCAAGGAAACAGATTCTGCCATGGCAGGACATTTCCCTCGGGTGCAACCACAAGGAAGTTTAAACATTCCTGCTAACCCAGAGTGCCTAACTGATCAGGAAGAGTGCGCTGAGGGGAGCACAGGAAGCCTACAGTACCAGCAACCATCAGGAAGTACCGTGAGAAGTAAAAGCCGGTGGGCTGCATATTTATCCTCACAGAGCTCACCTGTTCATTCTTCTGCTGTAGATGGAAATGACCTAGAAGGGAAACCCATGGCTCCAGGAGATAACATAGATTTAAATTTGAGAGACCTTTTGGTACAAAAAAATGTACAGTTCTTTGAACCAGATGCTGAAAATAGGAAAAACTATGATGAAGACAAGCCAGTAGTCAATACTGATCCATTCTGGGATCGGGAAATAAAATTAAAAATTCCTTCATTCTGTGAAAGCAGCTTACCTGTTACCTGTGGCAATGTGGAAAATAATGGCTTAGTATCAAAATCTGATGCTCAAGAAAATACTAACATACCTGTCACTCAAAATGATTGGATGTGCACAAAAGGATCACTCGTTAGAGAAAATGTTCAGGAGATAAATACATGTGGAGTACCAGAAAAGGGGTGTGAACAAACAGTGTCTTCCCTGCCAGAATCTGACTGTCTACAAATGGAATCTTCACTAAGTAGCACCTGTAGGATCTCTGATGCCATTACTGACATGTTGTCTAGAAGAAGTGCTGATTGTGAAAGTCTTAGTATTCAAGAACCCATAAGGAATGTAACACAACCATTTTTGGAGGTAAATTTTAATCTGAACAATTTTGAAACCAGTGACTCCGAGGAGGAATCCCAGGAAAATAGCGGAATGCCCCAGGATCCAGAGGGCTGGGAAAAGGACACCTTGGCTGGAGACTGCAGTTCAGGTGTTCAGAAGAGAGGTGAGGCTGTGCGCTGTGAAGAAGGTGGCAGCGCACCTCTGACTCTCTTATTGCCTGTTGGGGGAAAACCTACAGGGACATTTCCTACCAAAGAGGCTCTGCTGTCACGGCTCTGGAGTAAAGCTGGACCCGGTGGAGATGGAGTACAGGGGTGGGGTGACCCAGCTGTACAGTGGCCAGATGAGGTGTATGTGGTTAATGAAGATGTTGAAACACCCACACAAGTCAGAAGTAACTCTCATTTTGCTTTACTCCCAAATAAATCTAAAGGCATGAACTCGAATTTACATATTCCTCATTTTTTAAGCATGGACACTAATCAGACTCTTGAAAGCAACCTATTTTCAGAAACGACTCAGCACCAGCCTTTCATTATGGAAAGTGACTTAGGTGAAAATGATAACCAGGTTTTACCATTGACCTCTGGCAGTGACAACAGTATCCAGCTAGTAAGTGCCAGTCAGAGTCATGCAGACGGGTGCATTGCTCTTGATAAATCAGACCCCCAAGTTCCCAATTCTTTGTTTTACCCTCTGGGAAGAAAGCAGCCTATTTCCAATGACACAGAAGCATGCGTTCCTGAATCTGAAGATGTGGGAGGGATTCCAAGTTTAGCCCAGGACCATACTGAAGGAGATAGTGCTGGAGAAAACAGACAATACTGGAAGAGTCCTAGACATTCTTCAGAACCTTCTGGATTAGGAAGCAGCATTTCCCTTTTAAAGTCATTGACTGAACATACTACAGCTTTAGAAGGCTTGGAAATACTGAAAAAGAAAAATGCTACATATACACCACGAGGAATGCTGCAGACCCATGGGCCAGCAAGCAGTCCTGAAGGTTAGAATGCATGTCTGTTCTGGATTGTTCTCTTTAGAGCGCAAAGGATGGGAAGATACTTGCTCTGGAGGCTGCATTAGAGAATTACGTGATATTTCAGTAGGTAATACACAGACTTGGTGAGATCACTTCTAATGCAGGAAAATACAGTGAGAAGTGAGTCCCCCTTCTTTCACAGCTCTCAGCCCACTCCTTCAGCAGCGCACTTTCTGTCCAGAAGTGTCCTATGCACACCCAAAGGCCCCTGTCATCTCACGTGTGTATGTGTATGTGTGTATTACAGTCCATTCCTATTGTACCATGCATTTTTGGGCATGTGCTAGGTGCCACTTTAAAAAAAAGTCTTGAGTTCATAGTAATGATCTCTGATTGCACCTCTGCACCACATGGTTCTCTTTCCTCCATCCCCTAGTTGTTTCTTTCTTTGTTCCCAATGGGAAAGGGCCCAGGTTCCCAGCCATGTGGTGTGTTTACCGCCTCAGGGCTGCAGTGCACACCAGGTGGTTTCCAGCCTGCTGCCCCAATGTCACTGCCAGTAAAGAGCAACATTTGTAGAATTCATCAATCCTTTGCAGAGTTTTTGATTGTTTTTGGATTATATCCTACTGAGAATATAGAGTTGCATGTTACGTTCAGAAGTTGCTTGGGTTCCTTTTTTTTCTTCCGCATGATTAATATAAGTATAGCTGTTTATTGTTTAAGTTCAGAAGAAGAGCTTTTTTGGCCGTCCATGTTGATTTACTTCTGACTGTAAAATATTGGCCTGGTTCAAAAGTCAAAGCCATGTAAAGGCATGTACCGGGCTTCCCTTATGCCTCCCACCCTGTTCCTGCCTGCCTGCTGTGGGTAAACTCTGAGTCATACCTGTGTTTCCTTTTGCAAAAATAAAAGAACTCCATGTAGAGTTTGTTTTCCCTTGTTCAACAAAAGGTACCGTGCTCTACACAGTTGGTAGAACCTTGCTTCTTTCCACCCGGCCATACATCCTGGAAGTCCCCTCATTCCTGGGACCCGTGCTCCCTCTGTTCACAGCTCTGTAAGACTCCTGTGCAGAGGGACCCTCAGTTCCGCAACCAGCCCTCCATGGCTTTATGCTTATGAACAATGTGACAATAAGTAACCTCATAAATCTTTGTAACTATATATGGGCTTTGTGACTATTATTGGAGGTATGCAAATACCTAGCAGTAGGGTTGCTGAGTGAAAGTGTATTTATAGAGAACTTAAAAATTCCCTCCGTAAGAATTACACCATTTTCTCATCCTACAAGCCACGTGTGTGTGCCTGTTCCTCCACAGCCTCACCAAACTGGCAGATGGGAATTGGCATTTCATTGCATTTCAAATTTGTATTTCTGTTACTTCAAGAGAAATGGAGCTGCTTCTCATATGTTTAAGCATGGTTTGTATATATTTTCCATGTACTGTCCTACCCCTTGTCAGTTTTCTAATGGTTGTTTTTGTTCTTGTTCATTTGTAGGAGTTCTTTATGTATTAGCCCTTACCAGTGCTATATTGCAAATATTTTCTTTCGGTGTGTCATTGGTCTTTTGACCTTGCTTATGGGGTGTTGGCAGCAACATCTCTAAAAGCATTACATACAGGACATATTAGTAAATATACACGTTTATACACATGTGTATGAATGAACTGTGTACTTTACAGTATAGAAAGGTTAAAATTAAGCTCCTATTTGAACATCTCAAGGAATTCCTAAAAAAAAAAAACAGGGATCAATGATTGTACGTGCTAAAATGTTTCTGTAAAATGTAGTTAAATTTGATGATCATTACAATTTATTCTCTAAAAAATTAACAATAAGCAAAAAACTTAAATAACTTGGGTAGTTATAGTTATATACTGTTATGAGGATACAACTTCCCAATCTGAAGATTTAATTACAGAATTTCATTTCTGGAAATTGGTCTTTTTTTTCTTATCAAGTTGGAAAAGGGCTACAGCTGATTCTCTTGATTTTCAGTCATTATGTTACATCAGGTCACCACAGTCACTGACAGAGGGACCAGGAGCCATTGCTTTCAGGGCAGATACAGGGTTGGGCCCCTTCACACCTCTGGTCAGAACATCTTCATCAGCTCTTCAATAGGAAGCCTGGTTTTATGTGTGTTTCCATTTAAAGACACCTTAATTTACATTGTCAACTCAGGTCTATGACTAAAGGTATACTAAATAGACTAGGAGAAGGACTCAGTTTACAGTACTCATAAGATCTGAAATGAAGTTAGAAGTGCTAATTTAGGATTTTTTCCCAGGGTGAAGGCAATAAAGGGAAAAACATCAGTTCTCATCCAGTTCTTTAAATAAATAACATCAAGTTCCAAAGTCCACTTTTTTTTTCTTCATTAATGCATTTCGAGTTTTTAACAGCAAAATAATGAAATGAAAAATAAACAAATTGGCTAAAAATGAAGTTTTTACCAGGTATAGATATGATGTTTTTTGCAGTAATAATTACTTTAAAATTCTCGTGTTTTTTAGAAGAAATTGAGATGACTAAAAATGCACTTTTTCTTTTAAGAAAAGAAATCTATTTTTAAACAGATACTGTTGAGGTGATCTGTCCCAGCCACCCCCTGCCACTCCACTCTCCCTCTGCGGGGCCTGTGGCCCTGCCTCTGAGTCCCTTCTCCGACAACTGGATGTTGCCCCACACAGCGGGGTTTCCCTTGTCGGGTCTGCTGAAGGGTCTGCTGAAACGTTACTTCCTGTGAGAGGCCTGGTCGTCATCCTGTCTGAAACTACTCTCCCGTTTCATTGATCTGAAACCCTTTGTGTCTCAATCTGAATTTAGCAAGTTCATTTGTTTATTTTCTTTGTCCCTCCCTTTTTGAGGGACCTTGTTTGACTCGCTTGCTTTCCATTGCGTGGCACACTGAGCTTTGAAAATAATGGGAGTTTTTTTCCAACAATTATCAAGATTTTGCCACATCTTAAAATTTAACTCATATTTCTTATTTCATTTGGTTTTAAAAATAGGTTTAAAAATTTCTTAGAGCACTGCTAGATGTATGATGAATAAAATCATTGGGTTTTGTCCATTGTAGCCAGGAAACCATTGGTTACAGTAGTTTCACCAGCTGTTCCAAAGTCTCCTCATCTGACCCAGGATTCTCAGCAGGTACATTACTTTATCACTGTATGTGTGTTTTGTTTTGATATTGGATGTTCTGTACTTTGTAATGAGGCCATAATAATACGGAGGGCCCCACACTATCTAGTTTCACGACCTCACCTCTCATCTCAGTCGTGTTTTCATCTTTCAGCCAAAAGAAGCACCGAGCAAGTCCACCTGCCCAGTAGTTAGTGGTACTGAACAACTGAAGTGTTTATTTTTCTGAGTTTTATTGAGATGTATTTGACATGTAACATTGTATTAGTTTAAGGAATACAATGTAGCATGATACACATACATTGTGAAATGATTACACAAACATTTACTTTTTAAGTAAACACAGTTACTAATGGAATGCGGGCACTCAAGGGCACCTCACAGCTTCTCAGACCTTCTCAGATGAGATTTCTGTTCTAGGCTGATTCTCCCAGGTGAATGGATTTTTTGCCATAGCATTTCCGAACACCCCGTTTCTCGGGACACGATGCTGTTGGGAGAAACGGCCTGAGAGCCGAGCTGCCCCGAGTTAGCAGGGGGTCAGGGTCTCACGTCGGGAGACACTATGCTTCCCTCAGATGTGGAACGTTGGCAGAGCCCCAAAGCACCACGCCGCACAGTTTGGGAACCATGGCAGTCACATAAAAATGACAGTACTAATGAGGGCGAATTGAAATTCTAGAATAAGTCATCTAGATGTGTGCCTGTCAGTGGGGACAGCATTTTTGGAGGGACAGCTCTTCCATTGTAGGCACTGATCTTTCTAGCAGGTGTGTTGAGAAGAAAAGGTGAAATGTTCCATTTGCCCCTGTTTTGTACCTTACTCTAGTTTCCATATTACCGGTCTTTTTTTTCTTTTAATCTTGATTTTTCCCTCTTCTTTTTTAAATACAGAAAAAGATTAAGATAAAACAAAACCCTACCACTCAGATAGTTATTACATTTCCAGATAGTTATTACATTTTTTGGCCTGTTTTTAAAAACATGGTGAGGTTGATGTGTACAAATAATTTTACCTGACATTATCCTTTAAGGGGAAATCCTTTCCTCTTAATGTCATATTGTATTTTCTCACATTATTAAAAACTTCGCAAATGTCTTTCAAAGGTTATATACTATTTCATCTTGTGCATACCCTACACTTTAGACAAACAATCCACTAGTTTTGGACATTTTAGTTATTTCCAGCATTTTGCTATTTAAGTAAAACCTTAATAAATGTTTTTACACATAAATCATTGTTTACATTTAAGTTATTTTCTTATATTAGATCCCTGGAAGTCTAACTAACCTGAAAGGCTAAGAACATCTTCCTCTGGTTCTTGATATAAATTGTCAAATCTAAGTATCGTACTGTTTACAAAAGGGTACTTATTTCACTTCATATTCATCAGCAGTGTTAGTCTTCTGAAATTTTTGCAGTGTGAAAATGGTGTTTAATTAACATTTAATTTTTTTATTTCTTTGGTCATTATGGTGTTCTTGCATTTATGTCTATAGAAGTTTGTATGTTATTTTGTAACTTATTGTTGCTTTTTGGTTCCCCTTATGTTAGTGTTCTCCAGGGACGAGGGAAGAAAATGAAGTTGAAGCAGGCGAACCACTGCAGTCTTTGCAGGTGAGTTAACTTTTAATTCGTAATAAAGTAGCTGGAAGTTACATGTGTGCATGTGGGTGTGACCTGTAATTCATGTTTGCATTTTATGTAGTCAGTTTTCAACCTCATTTGGAACCAGTTAGCTGAACCTGCTGTCTTCTGTATAAGTGTCCCGTGTGGGTTATAGGATTTGGTCAATAGCCATAAATTGCCATAAATAACCATAAATAGCTTTTTTCATAAAGCCATTTTACAAACTCGCAATTGTCCCCTGACCCACAAACTGCTGTTGCTGGTTACAGTGGTACTCACAGCCCTGCTGCCCAAGACAGAGCAGGACAAGTGGTCCCTGTTGGGGTAGCTCAGTCAGTCATCACCATAATGATGAAGTCCAGCAGGCAGCAACTGCCCCGTTTCGCTTACCAATGACCACATTCTTGGTGGGTCTTTTTCCACTTGAAAAAATAGGGTTTAACTTTTCCAAGGACAGTTACCACCAAGTATGACCTGCAGATAAACACCATCAGTGTATTTCCCTCCAGAATGAATTGCCATTGAAAATAAATGTCACATTTTTTAAGTAAAATCTTTTGTAATCTTACAGCCTTTCAAAACAGATTTTTAATCTGTTTAACATTAATATAGGAGTACATTTGTATTTTTCTAATGATTTTACTGCCTTGAACTAAAAAGGATTAGTTGCTGTTATTGATGTCTTGTGGTTTTCAGTTGCTAGATGATTCATTCTTAGATAAACTGTTATACAATTAACAGTTTTTCCTCCTTTAATTTCATACTGGTTTTTTAATTAAATAATGCTCATTAACATAAGCATTAGGTCTAATGGGTGATTTGTAATGTGCCTAATAACTTTTGTGTAGTGTCAAAAGGTTCAATTAAAGTTTTGGGATTAGGATTTTGTAATGAGGGTGAGGTCGGTCCGCATGGTGCCTCCTCTGCTGCAGTGCTCCTGTGTGAGCTGCTGGTCACATGACTAGAGAGAAAGAAGCAAGATGGAGAAGACAGGGTATTTTCAGAGGGAAGCCTGACTTTCAGTTTTGGAGTATTTTCCCATCAAACTCATGCACACACTGATATTTTATTCTAGTTCTTTTCCTTGGGAAGTGAAGAAGAGCCAGCTTTTCCACCTGTTACTCCTAAACAAATAGCAAGAGAAACCTGGGACCCTCAGGTAAAATTTGTGAAGAACATTGATTTCCTAACAGTGTGTTTTCCTGCTGTTTTTACAGAAGCATTGGAGTTTTCCTAGGCAGAAGGTGCGTGAGTGTAAGGCACAGGTGGCAAACACAAGGCCCTCAGGCCGAATCCCGCCCTCCACCGTGTTTTATCCAGCCCTGCACCTTGTTTCTATCTGGCGGCAGTGCCGAGTTCTCACTTAACTCTTAAGGAGCAGTTACATTTATACAGACCTCAAATTACATTCGGCCCTTTGAAGGCAACCGGGAGGCTGATGTGGCCCCCCGTGAAAATGAGTCTGACACCCCTGACGTAAGGAGTTCTGATTTTAAGAACAAGAGAAACAAGAGACTCCTTCCCTGTGTTTGAACTTGAGTCCTCTCCCTGTTACTGGTGAGCTGAGCGGGGCGTGCATGGGACCCCCAGGGGGCTGGTCGTGAGGGTGTGCAGCACAGTGATGAAGGTTCCTCTCAGCCTGGGTTGCACGTGGCGCCCCGAGTGGGCTCCGCTCCACGTCAGAAATTGGTGGTGACAGCAGTGCCCAGTGCCTGGCTGCTGGACCGACGCCGCTCCCGAAACCCTGCGGGCTTCGGGAAGGGAGCTGCGGCTACTGGAAATGAGGAGGCCCCGTGGCCCGTGGAGAGGCGGCGACTTCCCATCCACCTGAGCAGAGATGCTCAGCCTTTGAGAGGCGAGACTGTTTACATTGAAATATTTCAAAATTCAGAATACTGCTTTCAGCAAAAATCCTGTCAAAGGGGCATTGTAGATTTGATTTTCCTTTCAAATGTATGATTTAGAATATTCATTTTAATTAAGAGGATATTCAGATTATGCATTATTGCCATTTTGTTCGTTTATCAGAAATATATCCGTCCTCTAGGTACATCCTGTTGGCCCTATTAGCAGTCTTATTTCCCACGTTCTGGGAGGGCTCGGCCACCCTGTGCAGTTCAAAATCCTGGAACTCGCCAGGGGCAGCGGAGAAAGCCACTGGGAGCCTGGAGCCTCGGCCTGTGTTGGGTCGGGAAGCCCTCTCCAAGCTGCTTCCGTGTGGGGCTCACACAGGCCTTTGCTCCCAGGCACTGGGGTCAGATCTTTGGGAGCCAGAGCCCTCCACCCCTCGGAGCGGGGCTGATCCTTGCTAAAATCTGGAGTGAAAAGGCTCCCTGCACGCCTTCCCTCTCCGCCTGCGCCGTGTCTGCTGGGCATGAAATGGTTTTTGGTACGCTGGGGAAGCAGCGGTCCAGTCCTTGGGTGGGGGGCTTGTGGAGGGGCTGGTTCTCAGGGTGGCGGCCGGTAAGTCTGCAACGGGACATCTAGTACACTAAAGAGTGGGGAAGGGGGCAACCACGAGTTTCCAGCTTAATTAGCTCATTATTTCTGTGTCCTTGCACTCAAAGTAAAAAATTTCATACTTAACTACTGTTGAACCGGAACTCAGTTAAATCGATGCACTTTAGTTACCTCTGACAAGTTCTAGGATAACAGTATTTTCTGGATTCAGCCATAGTCCCTCATTAATTATTTACATTCAGTAATGCTGGGTAGGAAGTTGAATGGTGTCTTCTTTTCTATGCATAAGCACATTGTAAGTGCGTATGTTCACCTACACTCATGCAGTGCTCGTTTCTCATTTACTTCCAGCCTGTTGAGTTTCAAGGGCATCGAGTGCAAGGATCGGCCACCAGCGCCGTGACGGTCCGAGGGTACAGCTCCCAGCCGGCCTATGGTCAGGCTCCCGGCTGCCTCGAGCCGCGTGGCTGCATGGCAGGCACGCGCTTTCCGGTGGCAGGTCCTCCTGGGGCTCGTCTACAGGCTGCCCTCTTGCAGGTACAAATATTTTTATAGTTGCATTTTGCCAAATCATTTTCTTTATGTCAGTGGTAAATTTTGTAAAGGGAGAATATTTAAATATTTGTACAGTCATAAATTAAAATGGACTTTAGTAACTTGACAAGAAGTATAACACCTGAAATCAAACTAAACAAGGCAAAAATACTTTATTTGAAAGATTTACTGCTTTTTTAAGAACGGGAATTTAAAGGATTACTTTTCACTTTAGAGAAGATTAGGAATTTGTGACCAGAGTGCATGGGCAGGTTAAACCCAGAAAATTTTTTCCCTTCAATTATGCCCCTGAGCACGTGTGTTGCCACCTTCAAGGCCAGGCAGGTCCATGGTATTCGTGCAGATGGAAAAACATCCACGGAGCCGTCGGGATGTCTGACATGCCTTCATTCATGGGTAGGTGAGCCACGCACACTGCAAGCTGCGTGTGTCTGCATGTCTCATGACGTGGCCCCTGCTCGCCGGCGTGGCACCGGTCCCTCTGCGTGTCTCTCATCACCATCGCCCCCAGCAGGGAGTCCCTACCTGTTTGAGTACTAGAGGGGAACAAAGCTGGAAAACTGCCAGAACATTACGTAACATAACATAATTCTACATAATTCCGTGCGTGCGAGCCCACTTCACGTCATGGGAACAGTTAATCAGACCCAGTCTCGAGGCTGTGAGAACACTGGTTATAGGCCCCTCCACGGCTGGGGGACGCTGCTCCCCTGAGTCATGCAGACACCTGGGTGAGGAAGCCAGGCTGCCTCCACTGACCCTGCAGCATGACACCGAGTTGTTCTCATTGCTACCAGATGGAGTCATGCAGAGAGGGTGGCATGCATCTTTGAAACTGTCTGTTAAAGACATTTTAAAGCTTCCCTTTTGACTGAGCCATAATGCACACACAGAATCCACGCACACACCGCCCAGTCATTACCACAGAGCGAACCGCCCTTAGGAAACAGCATTCCCAGAAGTCCCCCTCTGCCCAGTGCTGCTTTAAAAATCGTGTATAGTTTATAAATAGAGTGATAGGCACTTTCTTGTGTCTTCCGTTCAGCGTGGCAGTCTGGAAATTCATCCCGTCGTTGCCTGCGGCTGCAGGCAGTCGTTTCTGTTGCTGGGGTGTGTTCCGTTGTGTGAATACGCCCCAGCCCCAGCGGAGCCGGGCTGCAGGCCGGGTTGTTCGCATCTGGGGCAGCCACAGCTGAAGCTGCTACAAACACGTGTGTGCTGTCGTGAACATGGGCTCACAGATGTGCTTCTGCTGGTTACACCGTCAGCAGCAGCGTCTCCTGTTGTCACTTCTAGGAGACGCGGCCCAGCTGCTCTCCCAAAGGCAGCGCTGCCGCTCCGTCGTCTGGGCTCTCCTGCGGTGGGCGCTTTGGCTCCACTTGGTCTGAGTCGACAGCCCACACTCTTTCCCCTCCCGCTTCACACGGATTGCAGTTCAGGATTACCATTGTTCCTTACTGTTCTTACAGATAAAGACGTGTGTTTCTCATGCCCTGTGTTTTTGGAGAGGAGTTTACAGTAGAAAGGTGCTCTGTATTGGAAGACAAATTCATGTCCACTTGCTTTGTGTCTAATTGTTTTCCACACCTCAGCATAGTCATGTTTACATTGTGAGTTTGTAAGCAATGTTCCAAATGGCTGGACCTGCCAACAGAGAGGAGCGTCTCTGGAGTCAGTACAACAGAGGTCCTGCAGAGAGCAGTCTCGGAGCTTAAGAAACGCGGCTGCATGCAGTGCTCAGCCTCCGTCGCTGACTGAGGAAGCACCGATGCGCACCACTATGGAAGGGGGCCGTCGCTGGCAGGACACCACGCTTCACCACCTAGACCTGGACCTCTTTAGTAAACGTCTTTTGTGGTGGTAAAAACCATGACATGAAGCGTACGGTCTGAGCCATTTTTTAGTACAGTCAGTAGTGTGAAGTTGACTCACAGTGGGATGAACAGGTGTCCCGAACCCTCCCCTTTCACTTAGATTTTTCATGTCACATTTATTGAACCAAGTCTTAGATGGGTGTGGGCTTGGATTCTTGCTGTGTATCACACTGCTGTGTTTTCCTGCCTTTCTGTGAACACAGTACTTTTTTGTTCAATGATAAATCATAGTGCAGTCTTTTTGAAGACATTTAATCAGCAAAATGCCTTCACATGTACTGTTAGCAGTGCACAGCTCATACTGAAGTGAGCGCTGTGTAGCCTGGCTGATGTGCGTGTTGCTGCACACGCCCAGGTGGGAACGGTTGCCACTGTTGCTTGTGCTGTAGGTGTAAACATGTCATCACACGGAGGATGCACTCCTGTTTCTGCAGTGCCAAGGTGTAAGAGATGTGGTTCATGAGAACCGATGAAATGTGCTGTGCCCTGCCCTCCATGCATAGTACTGGCTTCAAAGCATTCCTGTTTTTCTGTCACAAACTGTTTGTATGTGTGTAAATATAGAGAGGTACAGATATAGGCATGTACACACACACTTCTTTCTAAATAAGCTGATAAATGGATCTGTTTTCTAGTTCCCAGATGAAGAAAACTTTCCAAAAGGAGGTGATATCTTTAATATTGAAGACAATTTTCAAGTGGTAGCTGAATCTAATGAGGACTCAACTGCAAATGATTGTAAGTAAATTGTAACCATGAATACAAGTAACATTAAAAAGTTATTTGACATCGAACACATGGTTATGTAAAGATCTTTGCTTTTCTTTCCCCATGACAATTTTAGATTTTCTTCCTAAAGATTCAGAACTCTCATGTCATTATTTGGATTATAATTTCAAATCAGCGGAGAGGACTTCATGGGAAGCAAATAAGGTATAATGTCAGAAAGTTTTACTAGTTGGGAGTAAAACGTTTTGGTGGTCTTATAAAAAAATGAATCTATTAAAAACTAAAAAGATGAAAATGTTAACACTGGATGATTTTTTAACATGATCAAGAAAGTCTACCAACAACTAACCAACATTATTTGAGTGATGAAGCGGCAGAGTAACTTCCGGTAGAATGAAGAGAATGCCCATCACTGCTATCTCCTTTGCTACTTGAGGATGTTTTGACTTTTGCAATATGACATGAAATGAGAGGCATACATAACTAGAAGAAAGAAATAGAGTTAGAATAATCAATTAAAATGAGAAGTTAAGAACTTTAGGAGATGTACAGCCTAGGCATTATCTTAATCAGAAGTGTGGGAGACGTGTGGAATACACTGAAATTTTACTGCGAATTATAAGACTCTCGAGTAAATAGGAACTCATCAATATTTACTGAACACCTTCTGCAGGTCAGAAACTTGTAAAGGCAGGTGTAGAGCGACGGGCTGGACAGCTGTGCCTTCAAGGCCAGCAGGGGAGACGGGTGTTAGTCAGGAGAGCAAACCAGCCGGTAAGTGGAGCTGGTGGCCGCTTCTGCAGCCCGGAGACCGAGGTGACCAGGGAGAGGACTCCTGCTGTGGGGGCGCCTGCTCCGAGGTTGCAGAACTGGTGGGCCGAGATCAGGGAAGATGCCCGCCAGCGGGGCGAGGAGGCGCAAGAGAGCACAGGCGGTAGCCGAGGCTGGGAAAGCGAGCCGCGGGACCACGCGCCCCAGGTCCTGCCGGTGGAGGAACCACCGGGGTGTCGTCACCGAAGGGGTTTCCATGGGGAGTTGCGTGACTGAGTGTCCACGCCTACAGGGCTTTGCTGCAGACAAGGACGGGACCCACAGGGTGAGTGTGGGAGCAGAAAGCCAGCGAAGAGGAGCCCTGGGTGACAGTGACCAAAGCAGGGGTGGTGGCAGGGGCCTCACGGAGGACTAGACCTGCAGGACGCTCATGGAGGTGTCTGGGTGGTTGTCGAGGCGGGGAGAAGGGAAGAGGGAGGAAGGCGCCTGACTCCCGGGGGTGGGCTCAGGCAGCGTCCACGGGTGGGTGAGGTGGAGGGGAGTGTCGGTCAGCTTGGCTGCCGGGACAGAGAGCCCCAGCAGAAATGTGCTCCTCCCAGTCCCCGGGGCCCGAGGGCCAAGACCCAGGTTCTGGCGGCTGCGGTTCTGTCCCACCTCACAGGGGGCTGCCTTCTTCTCTCTGTGTCCTCCCCTGGCCGTCCCTTGAGTGTGCAGGGATCAGGGACCCTCCCCTGTGACTTCGTTTAGCCTCTGTTACCTCTTAAAGGCCCTGTTCCCGGATACGCTAACATGGGGGCTTCAACACCCATTCTGGGGAGAAGGACACGCGTCAGTCATACTGGATTTTCAAGGCAATTGATCTCTGGGAGCAGCCACCAAATTAAAGGTTTCTGAAGAGAGTAAGAGGGAGTGATGGGACCGTTGAGGTCCGGAACACGCCCAAACACGGCACTCGTTTCGGAGCAGTGTCTGGCAGTTTGGGTGAACCGCAGAGCCACGCCAGACCTGTCGCTCCTGGGTCTTCCTGCTCCCAACGTGATGTCTCTGCCTGAGCCCCTCAGCCTGGAAACCGATCTTCAGAACCAAATTCCCATGACCCAGATCACTCAAGTCAGGATCTGACATAAATCCAGCAGGTTTTATGTTCTGTAGTTTACATAGTTTTTTTTGAGTAGCAAATAGTTTATTAGTAAGTACTAAGTACATGGTTTCAGGGGCAATAATAAGTTCTCCTGAACAGGAGACAGTAATGAAGTGAAAAGAATAACTGCTTGGTGACCATCAGAAACTCTGTGGCCTGTTGGGCCTTTGTGTAGAAATGCGGAATCGCTCAGGGCAGGTCCTGAAGAAGACCCGTCCTCTCATTAGTCAGTACGAATAGGTCCATGGTGCCCAGAATGTGCAGCTTGTGCCGATCATCACCTTCTCACAAACGTGACCTGCTGGCACAGGACTACAGCTTTCAACGAAATCTGATGGACTGTTGGTAGGAATCTCTTCTCCTTCCAAATCGATGACTCTTACAAATACTTGGTTTTGGGTCACTTGGGCTTTTTGCAATCCCAGTGCCACCTGTTTGGATGCCATAAAAATGTCAGCCGAGATTTTCTGTGAAGACAGTACCTGGATTTTGAGTTGTAGACTGCACTGCTGGTCCGGGACAAGTGACACCGCCTGCCTCAGAAGCACGCGGGGCGACAGCCGGGCTGACAGCACAGCCTGCAAGTTGCCAGGTTTTCCCCGAGAGCCCCACGAGGCATGTTCTGTGCAGGCTCCGCCGCCGTTGGCTAGGGCCTGCTCACAGTGCGCTCCTTGTTGGGTTGTGGCAGAGCTTCCACAAAAAATCCTTAAGAGTGTCTCAGAGCAGGAACGGGTGATCCGTGGTTTCAGGGTTCCTGGGACTCGGGGGCCTTTCTCACCTGGTCCCGCAGAGGTCCCTACTGTTGTTGACACTGGTGAATTTATCCTGTGACTTTTGGGAGACTGCCCACCATGGCTCTACCTCATCTGATCGAAGGCAGCATTTTTACAACATAAATCACTAGAACTCATTCAAACTGGGGACAGTGCAGCAAGAAGATTTTGGTCTGTGACTTAGTTTCTTCTTCTGGATAGGTGACGTCACCAGAGCAAAAGGTCTCAACATTAAGCCCTGTGTCTACTTTTTCTCTGGACTTGCAAGACGAAGACTTCGAGCTGGAATTTCCTGAGGAGTCCCTGAAAGCCAGGACCTCACCGGGTGAGCACCACCGTCTCCACTTGGAGAGATGTCCTTGTTGCTCTAATGTCGTCGGGGGGGGAAATTTTATTGTAGCGATGGCTCTCCCTTCCCTCTGGCTCTGGATCCTCCTCCCAGCTCCTCTGCTCTCCGAGGTGACCCCCGAGCTGGGCCCCCTGTGGCCCCTCCTTCCCAGGGGGGTATCTGGTCCACGCCATCGGTTGACCAACATACCCGCTGTGTCCCCTTTTCTGCTCTGGGGGCCTGGCAGTATCAGCAAGGTCTTCCATTGCTGCTACCCCAGCTGTGTGCCAGTCCCTGGGTCCTACTTCCCTGTGAGTAACTTCCTGCTTCTTGATGAGTGTCCTTCCTGTAGGATCCTGCCACTGATGCTTTCCTCTCTGTCCCTGTGATCGTCAGTGTGTCTCCCCCGATTCTGGAGTTAGGTTGGATGAGAAGTGGCATCATAGGCAGTTATTTCGTCGCGGGTGGATGATATGAAACCCTCGTGCATGGGTGTTTTGGCTGGAGCAGGTTGTGGGGGTGGTTGGTAGGCAAAACAGCTAGGAAAGGGTTGGTGTGGGTGGTGGGGTGTCTGAGACAGGTGAGGGGACGGTGCGGGGACGGGTGCCTTCACAGTCACACCGTAGTGTCTGCTCTGTGCTGGGGCTCTGACCTCCTGTCCCTGCTGCTCAATCACTTGTTAAAAGTATCGTTCGCTCACCTACTGCTCTGCTAGCTTCTCAAGTGATCTGCGGTTTATTTCCAAAAGAATGGAAACTGTCAAGAAGGTACGTTATTATAAAATAGGAAACACAGCACCATCCGATAAAATCTTCAAGCTTAAATAGTTCTCATGCAGCATTATTTGTTCATGTATTTATTCAACAAATATTGCTTTTTACATTTTTAGGAATATATCTATTACTGACAGCCAAAATCTGCCAAAGAATGAGTTTGCAAATCATGAACTCTTCTCTCATACCAATAGCTCAAACTAAAACTAAACATCTTTACCCTGAAGGTCAGCATATCAGCCCATGGTTGTAATAAAAATGTAGAGGAAGGTATAATGACACAGATAAAACATGAACTTCAGTCTCTGGAGAAAGAATATAGGGTTGAGAACAGGTTAGTTCTGGGGTCTCTGGATGTGTTGCCCTAGGCCTCGGTTGTCCCATCTGTGAAATGGGGGGTGATTCTGTTCTTGGCTGAAAATTTCAGTGCAACGTAAATATAGAGTGTAGTAATAGGTGGGGGGGAGGGTCCTTAGCTAAGGGGGTAAGAAAGTTTCTGGTTCATCCACCTTCAAAAAGTTTCAGAGTCTATTAATTCATCTTTTAAGATGTTTTTGAGACTGAAACCATTAAATTTTTTATTTTAAAAAAGGAAATAAAACTATGTGATTTTTTTTTCAAGGCAAGTTGGTATTTTTCTTTTGCTTAACCCACGGGTGTCCTAACCTTGATACATTTTTATTTAATCGGTTTTTTTTTCCAGTAACGAAAAAGTTCAGTTCCCCAGAGAGCCATGACCTTCCAAGGCACCCTGCATTAAGTAGAACTCGCTTTCCCCTGGTCACGGTGCCCGCAGCTCCGGGACCCTTGCCTGGCGGGTGTGCAGAGCCCGTGGTGGGTCCTGTGCACTCCAGGCCAGAGGACCCGAGTGAAGCCTCCTTGTGCCAGGCTCCCAGGGAAGTGAGCCCTGGGGCGGCTTCACGTCTCCATGGAACGCCTGTGCGAAGCAAGTGGCTGAAGTACCAGAACACGGCCCAGGGCGGCCCGTCCACTCCAAGCGGAGCTCAGCCGAGCGCCTCAGCCAGCTGTGCCGGGGCAGTTTGTGGGATGCGCTGTGGTGCTGCAGGTGGGAGCCCCTGCACTGTGGAGGACAGTCTCCTGGGGGGAGAGTCCACTCGCCTGTGGGTGCTGAGCTGTGCGCTCCGCGGGCAGCAGCCGGGCGCTGGCCCCCAGGACTATGTTTGCAGAAACAAAGCCCTTTTTCTGAGTTCAAAGCTGGCTTCGGACACGGAGGAAGTCCAGAGTATGTCGGGAGGGTCTGCGTGCTGCGGCCGTGACGTGACGCATTCACAGGTGAGGCGGTGGTCCGGGTCACAGGTGAGGCAGCTACTTTCTCCAGTAGCTGTTGTGTGAGTGATTTCACTCTGGGAGCTGATGGCTTTTTGATTTTGAGTTTTCTGTAACGCTAGCTACAGCCCTATGTTCTTTGATGTAAGATCTTTCCTTGCCTTTTGTGAGCGTTAACTGAAGTGACACATTTGGAAGTGGCAGGTGCAGAGTTTGGCACACAGTAGGTCCTCAGTCACAGCTCCTACTGTTCCCACCCCACTCCATTACTGCCATTATTGTGGCTCTTTATTTCACACTGTCAGCTCCCTGTGCTGATCAGTTGTCTTCCAGGTAAAGGTGCATCTCGTGACCCATTGATAGTTGTAATCAGGGAGGGAGATGTGCAGTGATCCCTTCTCATCAGCTGACTGTTTCCTAATGAAACTATTTAAAGCTCATTAAAGGGCTGACAAGAAAAGTTAGTCTTTATTGAAAGTGCCACATGTAGCCATTCTTGCTATATGGGCTTCTCATTTAAACTTAGAATACTATTTTTAAGGATTCTGGAAATTTTAAAAAAATTGTTTATTGCCTTAAACATATACTATATAGAAGTAATTTACTCATTAGTAAATAGCATTTTTTGTGGTTGTTATAATAACTTGTATTATTCCATTTTAGGAGGTAGATGTCTCTGAACTGTGCTTCCCAAGTCAGCAGAAAACAAAATGCGTGGCTCTTCCCCGAAGGCAGACTCACATACCGGCGGTGTTTCAGTCTCCCTCGCAGTACAAGCAGGTCTTCACGTCCTGCCTCACAGGTACGACGACACCACCTTGTCATGTCGTGACACCACGGCGGCCTAGTGTGAAGGGCGTAGCTGTGAGCAAGTGTGCTAGTGCACGCTGCGACCTTACACATTGCATTTCCTACCTGAGACTTGTTGTTCTCCATGTTTACTCCGGTTTAATATCAAATCAAAATTGAGTTCTAAAAATGGGAAGTGGCAGCATTATCTTTTTTAAGTTACAGGTTTTCACTTTCTTTTATACTTGAAGTGTTACAAATGGTTTTGTTAAGTAGGAAATTTTAAGTATGACGAATGGTTTGGTAGCTTGTTTTGTTGTACGAGGGCAGAACTTAGCTGTAAAAGTGTATATTAGTATTAAATTACATTTTACTCTTAAAAGGCTCCTTTCAAATTTAGCTAACAAACAGCACATATGTGACTCAAAGACAAAATTACTTTGTTTAATTTCCACCTGTGTCTTTTTTGTAGAGCATCTGAATATACTGCTCTTCGGGCTGGCACAGAGGCTGCACCAAGCTCTGTCAGCAGTTGACATGTCGTTTTACACATCAAATGGAGAAAAACTGAAAACTGTAGAAAATAAGGCACCGTCCTGCCATCACCATCAACCGGCAAAACTTGTCACGGTTCAAAAGGAAGGCCCAAACAAGGTCTCGCCCCCCTCCCTGTCCCGTTGTCCGCTGGCACTCGTCTCACCGACGGCGTGTGTGCCTGTTGCTTTCTGACAGGTTTGGCAGAAGTTGAGTCTGGACGCAGAGCCCTCGGCTTGAGGCTTTGGTAGCTAACAAACTCTCAGTACCTTTCATGCAAAGATGATCTGTGTGCAGGGACACAAACAAACGAGTGAAGACCAGTCTTCAGGTAGCTTAGGAACTCACTGCACAGTAGTGGGCAGAGAGACACAAGAGGAAACGATACCTTTGTGGCTGGTAAGGGCGGAGGGACACGCCCAGCTTCCAGAGAGAGCCGATGAGCCCGAAAGCGGTGGCCCTGCACTAACACCAGAGGAGGCCAGGGGACAGAAGAGCACCCGGACAGATGTATTTTGTTGAGTACAGACTGGGAGGAGTTGGTAAAATGTTTGTGTATCGACGGGTGGTTGGTCCTCATTATAAAACACAGGAAGAGTTTTCCTCTGCTGTCTGCATACTGAGTGTATAAACTTGCATTAAATGTGGTTGTTAGAAGTAAGAGTTCCTAGATAATGTTAGAACCATAGAGTAAAATGTTGTAGAACCACTAACATTTTTTAAAAGATTCTTTGGGGACATGGTTGCTATACTCATAGTATATTGTTGGCTATAGGGGTTAGGTTTTAGAGTAGAAATGTATTGTTACCTCAGTGTTGTTTTAAAATAAGAAACAGCTTACACGAGTGTGTCCTGTGTGCGGACGCCTCAGTGAGGGGGAAGGCTGGGCTGAAGGGTGCCCGGTGCATAGCTGATTCTAGGCAGCTTGCAGGTGGTCTCTAGCGATCATTTTAAATAAAAAAAAACAATAAATTTTATTTTTCAAATAAGCTTATATTGTAAGAATAATGTAACTTTTAGATAAGAAGAAAGCAGAAGGGAAACTACATGGTTTTAAATTAATGAAGAGATTAAGTTGTATAGTGGCTAATTTCCTGGAGTACATTAATGCCAAGCAACCTTTGTAAAAGTCTTAAACTATACAAAAACAGTAAAATGTAGAAACATTTCTCTCACTGAACTTTATTATCTTCTTCCCTTAGGGTCGACTTTTTTACACCTGTGATGCACCCAAAGCTGACCGATGTAAGTTTTTTAAGTGGTTCGAAGAAGTGAGCTCAGGGCATTTAACACAGGAGGAACCCCCGCCTGCCACCGTGCTGAGCGACGTGAAGAGCGTTGGCTTGTACTTACGAAGTCGGAAAGTGCCCCTCTATGAGGAATGCCAGCTTTTGGTGAGGTATGTTTTATGATAACAAATCATTGCCTCCAATTATATCAGGAAATAGTAACATCAGAGAACTATCATCAGTTTTAAAAGAGGTTGAGATCAGTGAAGTCTCTGAAAGACAGAGACCCTCGGTGTTTCTGGCCAAAGGGGCCGTCCTCTGAACCACAGGCCCTGCCGGCGGTCCCTGGGCCACTGCAGGAACGTGACTGCTCTAACTGTCGTGATGGACACTCACAGTCCCCAGGGAAACCCTGCTGGAGAGACCACAGTCATGGCTTTTGTCCGGGCAGGATGACAGGGGGCGCCTTTCGAGAGCCGAACGGCCTGGTGTTCAGGGTAATAAACCAGCGTGTTTTGGACACACGTCTCATAGAAGTGGGATCACCCAGAAAGTAAATATAATGAGCATTCGCTTGACAATGTAAAAATAACAACATGTGCTGGAGGCCTCTATGTGCTGGGCATCTTCCTCAAACTTGCGTGTCTTGGTGCATCGTCTTCATGACCTGTGAGGCGTGGACCTAATGGGGCTGGCATTTCACTCCCGTTTCACAGCTCCCACAGCTCCTCGGTCGCGGAGGTCTTCCAGATGCTCTCCCTGTCTCGGTCTCTCTTAAGACAGGTGATCGTTCTGTGAGGCCGCTCCTTTCTTCCTTTGACAAAACAGTGTTTTTATTTTGTGTGGATGCAGGAAAGAATATAAACATACACACATCCTGGTCCTTTCCGTACTGTATTTTAAAACAAGATTTTTTAACAATTGTACCTTCAAACTTCCAGCTATAAAACTGTAAGTCAGTCCTGGGAGTGTCATGGACGGCGTGCTGACTGGTCAGTAATGCTGTATTTAGTGCATTCGAAAGCCGTGCACAGAGGAAACCTTAACAGTTCTCATCACAAGAAAAAGATTTGTAACTCTGTGTGGTGATGTATGTTTATTAGACTTACCGTGGTCCTCATTTCAGTATATATAGAATTATAATGTTGTACACCTGGAGCTGATGTGATGTATATGCCAATGTGTACCTTAATATTCAAATTCATTTCTGTTTGTTACTCATTTTGCAGAAAAGGATTTGATTTTCAAAGGAAACAGCATGGCAAACTGAAGAAGTTTACAACTATGAATCCTGATTTTTATAATGAACCTAAAAGCAAACTTTATCTTAAGCTGAGTCGGAAGGAAAGTTCTTCAACTTACAGCAAAGGTCAGTCGATGTATCATGCTGGTGCATACAGCTCTGAAGACTCATTATGGATATGTATACATTTTTTGAAAATTTGATTGCTTTTATTTAGTTAACCAGGAACCTTTCATTTCTCCCAGAGCAGCGAAAGTACAGCTTTTGAAGGGATTTTTAAAATTCTCTTTTCCTTTTAATAACAGTGCTATGACGTATAGGGTGGTCCCTTCCTCAGTGGGTCATCTCATAACCTGTCCCTTCAGCTCTCGGTGGCAATGCTCTTTCAGCCGTACCTCCTCCCCAGTTTGTTCACGTAAATCCAATCCACGATTCCTCCCAACGTGTTTCTGTAAGAGCTCATGGCCATGTAAATAGATGTTGTACATTCTGGGTGTAACAGAAATATTTATATGCAGTGAAATACAAAACTAATTTTTGGTTGTATTGCTACATTTAAATGATGTGTGTTGCATAAATAATTGAAATATAATTCAGAAATCCAAAATTGTCCTGGAAAACTAAAACTGTCAAAAAGTACAAAACCACAAACAAAACTATAGTAAAAGTCAGTATTTACTTGTATAATTTATTATCTGTATATCTATAATAAGTATTACTATCTTAGCTCTGGCTGCTGTGGCTCAGTGGATTAAGCACCAGCCTGCAAACCAAAGGGTCACCAGTTTGATTCCTAGTCAGGGCACATGCCTGGGTTGTAGGCCAGGTCTCCTCTAGGGGGCGTGCGAGGGGCAGCCACAAAAAGGTGTTTCTCTCCCTTTTTCTTCCTCCCTTTTTCTCTGTCTAAAAATAAAATAAATAAAATCTTTAAAAAATATATCACTATCTTAATCTTAATTTTGCTAACAAGAATAACTTTTGGCAAAAGTGATCTATTTTAAATATCTACAATTTTCTTAAATTTTTTCACTACTATTTTAAATATATCTCAACAACTTATTTTCAAGGCAAAGAAACACAGACCTAATCCACTTCATGATAAGCACAAATGTGGAAATCTGAGAGTTATAATCTCAAAATTCTTTTATAAAGCAACCAGTCTAGGCACATTTTTTTAAAAGATTTTATTTATTTATTTTTTTAGAGAGGGGAAGGGAAGGAGAAAGAGAGGGAGAGAAACATCAATGTGCGGTTGCCTCTTGTGTGCCCCCAACTGGGGACCTGGCCTACAACCCAGGCATGTGCCCTGACTGGGAATCGAACCAGCAATGCTTTGGTTCACAGGCCCACGCTCAATCCACTGAGCTACACCAGCCAAGGCTAGTCTAGGCACATTTTTAAAAATCAGTTTATGTAGTTCATTAATGGGATGTTTATATAAACACATTGTATACGTTTTACGTTGACTGATAGTAGAGCGCGCGATAAAAACTACCTGCAAACAATGTGTAAATAAATATAACGTGAACACTTAAAAGACAAATAAAGACAAGAACAAACTTATTTCTGTACTCCCTTCAAAGAGACTTATTCAAATACAAGTTTAAGTAACAGGCTGGTTAAAAAAACAAACAGAGGAAGAAAAAATAGTTTTAGATGGAAAAGTTCCTTTGTCGAATGTGATTTTTTCCCCCTGAGATGCAGCCATTCTCGATGACTGCTCTTCCCCTCCGACTTGCTCCTTCCCAGGACGCAGGGGCAGCTGCGCCTGCTGCTCCACAGTGCAGGCCAGCTGCCCCTCCTCCCCTGTACACTCTGAATGACCCGACCCTCGAGCAGAGGCTCATTGCTGAAAACGTGGGGTGTTGCTCTTGGAGCCTGTCGTTTCCCCCAGAGCCTTCAGACCCACATACAGAACGGAGAACATGGGCTCACACTTCCTTGCTTCTGTGCTTGGTTTGTTTCTGTCATTTCTTAACCCTGGTGGGTTTCAAGTACGTCTTCTTCAGGGAACACTTTTGGGGAGAATTTCGTTCCAAACTGAAGAATGGCAACTACTTCCCTTCCGCCGGGTTTGTCTGCCGGCCTGTCCAGGAAGCGGTCTCATTCTGTCACTGAGCTCAGGCTGCAGGACTCTGCGAGTCATCAAAACACTGCCCTTCTCCATGTGCTCCTCTCCGTTGCTGTGACCCCAGAGAGCTGTGGGACTCCTTCTTTTTCCCTGGTTTGGAGTAACATTTCCGTTTTGGGTCAGCAGGTGTCTCCCGGGTCTGGGGGGAACTGCAGCGTCCCCTTCAGAAGGCTGTGCTGGAGGGTTTGCCGTGTTGCTGCTCTGGCTCCACGTTCCGTCTTGGCTCTTTTTCCTTTTGAAACACTCGCTGGCTTCTTTGCCAATATTTGGCTTCTTTGTGGTTTTGTTCAGTGGTAATAGTTCCTGCCTGCTGTAACTTAATGGCATGAAGTGTCCTTGGATGATGTTCTTCTGAAGCATCTTGGATGATTTCATGGCAGTGTCATTTTGTCTTGGTCTTAAAAGGCTTTGACAGCGGCTTTTAGCACATCCACCTTTTTCTTCAGAAGAGGGTGCCTTGCTAGTCTGGCATTGCTCTTCCAGTTGCACTGAAATCAGGCTTTCTGCAGATTTTTTTCAAAGTTGATATCATTACCAAGAGCAGATTTAGTTACTAATCAGATTTCAGTTCCTCTGTGGCATGGATCTCCTCAGGCGATCTTGTGGGCATCTTTGGTTTCTGAACAGTGAGTCTTCAGGACCCTCGTTGACTTTGGTCGGTCTGCTGCCCTGCAGTCAAACACCCCTGACAAGTTTTCAGATAACCAGAACCTGAATTCTCACTTCTTTTCCTCTTCTCCTTATTGATGTTCAGAGTCCCATGCTGAGCCTTGGAAGATCTAGGGCACAGGTGGCAAACACAAGGCCCAAGAGCCGAATCCGGCCCTCCACCTTGTTTTATTGGGCCTGGCACCTTGTTTCTACCTGGCGGCAGCATTGAGCTCCTTACCCCTAGTTAAGGAGTAGTTATGTTTATACAGTGCTAAAATTATGTTCGGGCCTTTGAAGGCCACCATGAGGCTGACGTGGCCGCCCTGATCCAGGGAGAGTTTGACTCCCCTGATCCAGGGAGAGGACCCACGGCTCCGGCCATGAACTGTCCCTTTCCAGAAACTTTCTATCAAAGAGGATTTTTAAAGGGATGGTTTAATGTAGTATATGTTGCGAATTACTGTATAATAAACCATTTCTAAAAGACCATTTTCTCCTCTTGGGCGCTCTCTGGACCTTTTAAATCTCGAGTCTGTTTCCAGAGGCCACTGGGTAGTCAGATGCTCACAGCTGTGTGTCCTCCGGCCTCCAGCGGCTGGACTCCCCTCCTCGGCCTTCCCGCAGCTCGCTGCGCGTCGGACACCAACAGCGTGGGCGTCCAGTCCACGTGTGCACACTGGGAAGCGGTTCCTTTTTAGTTGCGGGGAGTTGGCCTCCATCATTCCTTCACATCATCTCCCTCTGATTTTTATTTCCCTCTCCAGGACTTGCATTGTTCAGATGCTAGACCTTCTGAGTCTGTCCTCTGACTCTTCCCATTTCTGCTGTATTGTCCGGGATTTTGTCCCGTCTTCCTTCTAAACGGCTTATTTTTTAAATGCATCCATTCTGTTTTTATTCTCTTCAGTTATCACTTCACTTCATCTACCATACATTTCCAAACTGATATTTTTGTTCATGTCTTTTTCCCAGTTTCTTGCTCTCCTTTCGTGTTGCTGCTCCCTCCCCTTCCTTTTCGTCTCTCTCCCAGCCTCCCTTGAAGTCCCTCCTCCATCTGTTCTGGTGTCTCCTTTTCTGAAGGACTCTAACCCAGTGTGTTTTTCTCTTGAAGTCTTTGTGCCCCTCAAGTGTCTCATTATTTTGGCCTATAAACTGATTTTCCCCTGGGGCATCAGCTGTTCTTTCTAGCAATGCGGTGGGGGTGGGGGGGGCTGGGGGGGGCGACCCCGTCTGGTGCTGCAGTGAGCTCAGGAAGTTGGGCTCCGTTCCAGCTCTGCCATTTCCTGGCCCCCTGTCTGTGGATAATTTGTTTAACTTCACTGTCCAGAGAATAATAATACCTCTCTGACATTTAGGATGTCTATTGACCTGGAACATAATACAGGTTATTGTGTTTAACTGACAGGAAAATCCTCATAGATCCATAACCTGCCGTGGGACTTGGATCTAGTCACCTGTCGTTGGTGCCCAGCAGTCGCTGAAGTTGCCGCCCCTCCCCCAATAAGAGCCCTCCCTTGTCTGTGGTGCCCCTGGAGTCCACCCTGGTAGCCCGTGTCTGAGAGGGTGACATGCCCCAGTTCAGCCTCAGGACAGACCCTGGAGTCTGGGGTTGCTCCACCCTCCTTCCTTGCACCCCCGAGGCACCTCTTCTTGGGGCTGCTGAGCTTGGGGTTTTCCTGGGAGCCCACTGGGAAAATTCTCTTTTTTTCCCAGATTTTCTAACATTGGTAAGGACTAGTGATTTCCCAGCTTTGTAGGATTTCATCATTCTCTTTCTCACTTCCTGGGGCTCCCATAAGGATCACTTCCGAAGTCGGGGTGGCTTTCCCAGCCCTGACCTCACGCACTGTGCTGGGCGGCACTGTCATTTCCGTGGGGCACAGGACTTTTCCTGTCAGCTGCCTTGAATTAGAAGTCTCGCCCTGGCTGGCGTAGCTCAGTGGATTGAGCGCGGGCTGGGAACCAAAGTGTCCCAGGTTTGATTCCCAGCCAGGGTACATTCCTAGGTTGCAGGCCATAACCCCCAGCAACCGCACATTGATGTTTCTCTCTCTCTCCCTCTATCTCCCTCCCTTCCCTCTCTAAAAATAAATAAATAAAAAATAAAAATCTTTAAAAAAAAAAAGAAGGCTCATTACAAGTTGTGGCAAATGTTAAATAAAGTCAATATTAGCAGTTGGGAATAAGTTGTTTAAATATGTGTTACCCGAATTGGCAAATACTTTTAAATAAATTAGGTATAAAATAACCACGATATATAGATCAGCTTTTTCTAAAGTAGTTTCCTAAACATATTTACTAAAATAATAGTCCTGGGGGGCAGTGGAAAGACTTAATTTAAAGAAAATGTGTCATGTGGCTAAATAAATGTGGAAATCACTGTTAAACACATCACCTCAATGCAAGATTTTCCACAACCTTTCCTTTGTTGGTGTGCATTGGACTTTTCAAGGTGGGGTGTGGCTGAGACTCGTAGTTGGTCAGTTACTTTTAAAATAATGCATATGAACATTAAACATGAAATCTTAAAATGTAAATATATTTTTATTTAAAAAATAAATCTTTTGAAAAACAGCCAAGGCTTCTGTTCAGAATGTAGGTTTTCTGATTAGAGATCCTTTCCATCTTTCTTGTATGAACTATACCCACAAATCTACCACCCACAAATATGCCATTTTGAATTGTTAAGTATGGAGCAAGAACTTAGACACTTCTGGAGCGATCTAAGTGGAGAATGACTTAAACTTTTCCACTCCTTTTTCTAGTGTTTTGCATTTATCTCATCTGTACTTGAGTCAGAAGCAGTTTTTTGTGTTTTGGACCCCTTTGTTTAGCAAATCTTTTTAACTGTCTTTCTAAATTGTTTGCTTAAGTTTTCTTAAAACAATTTTTTTCTTCATACTCATAGTGGTTCAGATAACATGATTAAGTTATATAATTGTAACAATAGATACAGCTGGTATAAATAAATTTTAGAACAAATACAGTTGAGTCTTTGTAAGTGTAACTCTGCTGCTGGTAGAAACTGTGTGCAGGTGTTCTGGACAGTGGCCTGGCCTGCCGGCTGCAGGTGTGCAGTGTGCTGTGGGCCGGTGGGCAGGTTCAACAGCGAGAACGCAGACCGTTCGTTACTCCAGAGACTCAGCTGGAGGTTCATTACTCCAGGTCTGTTAAGAGAACGTGTATTCCATCCACGAACTGCTAACCTTATTTGAGCATGGAAACCGCTATGTGCTCTCTCTAAGACCGTCGATTTTCAACCCATGTGTCACAAGAATTTTTAAAACGTGCAATACCTGACTGTTTGGTCAGGGGCACTGACCCCTTTTCCCTTAGATTGTCAAATAAAAAAAATTACAGTGGACAACAATAGCCTTGTGGTATGAATGAAGTAAAATTATACTGACTTTTTTTGGTCAGATTGGCAAAAAATGTATTTTTTGGTGTGTCACAGAATTTTAATAATTAGTTTATGCCACCAGACAAAAATGGTCGAAAACCATTGTCTGAGGCTAATAGTCTACCTTGGGAACATCTGATGTAGCCATAGAGCTGTTTTAGAAGAGAAAGATGAGTTAGATGTCTTTGCTTTATTTGTACTGTTTTTTATAATTATAAAATAAACTTTAAAAAATAAAAGTAATCTAGTTAAAAACGTGGAAATGAAATGTTATATGTTCAGGTCCTAGTCTGGGTGGAATCTTACAGATGACAATAACCAATTTTGTTTTTTGAGAAATAATGTATAGCTGAGCATCTAAGAAATCCAAAACAGCTTTGGATTGAGCATGGTTCCGAGTCCTTTAAAAGGTGTCTTTTTTCAGACGATCTGTGGGTGGTTTCCAAAACCCTGGACTTTGAGTTGGACACTTTCATTGCCTGCAGTGCTTTCTTTGGGCCGTCGTCTGCCAACGAGGTGGAGCTGCTACCTTTGAAAGGCTACTTCCCCTCCCGCTGGCTCACAGACAGTAAGTGTCACCGTGCCCGCATTAATTTACAGTGAAAGAGAGAAGCCGTGAGACGCACCGTGACCAAGATGCCACCCGGTGTGCGATTCTTTGATTCAAGCCGAGAGACAGCACCCGCTCCTGCTTTCTGCCCTGGTGTCCCTGGAAACACGTTTGACGGTCGTCCTTACAAACATCTCTGCAGTCCAGTCCCAGCGGCATCAGTGCGATAAGATCTGGGGCCCTCACTCAAGTACATTTTGTTGAAGTTGAATTTGCACAGCCTGTGCCTGATATTAAATAAGAAATCTGACAAATAATTTCCTATATCAAATTCTAATTCTTTTAGTTTCTTTACTTTCCATGGCTTGTTATTCTAATAGTACAGTCAGTAAAGAAATTGTTTATTTTTGCACGGAGAAGTTCCCGGATTTTGAGGAGACCCTGACAGCAGTTGGGCGGGAGGGCAAGTGATCTGTCCTGGGAGCCCTGGACGACACCGGCTGCCAGCGGGCCCTGTCTGTCTCTGTGCCAGGAGCCCGGGTCAGTCTCTGATAGGGTATGTGGTCCGTGACCAGTTAAAGACACACAGTTTTAACTTCCGATGTTTTCTGTTATAATTAGTTGCCTCGTGAAGTGGACATTTGTCACTTTCCACACATCTGTTCACGTTTGTTTCAATTGTTTCCTCACCAATATCAGCATCGAATTTCCTGCTCTCCATGTATTTCTATGAAATCATTAAGGAAGAAATGCAACAAAATGCCCAAAGAGCACACAGATGCTGCAGGCATAGGGCAGGCTGCTGACTGTCACCACAGCTGCGTGGCTGTGCAGCTGTGCGGGGTGCTGTGTCCTCCGTGTGGCCTGGGACCCTCATGCAGCGGTGCCTGTGCTTGGGGACTTGCAGTCGTGGGCTTCGTTCTCTGGTTTATGTGGATCCTCCACTGGGTCTCATGGTTTTTTTTCCTCACGCCGAGTGTTCATTCTCTATCCTCTCCACAGCAGTGGTCCACGCCCTGCTGGTGTGTAATGCCAGCACGGAGCTGACCACCCTGAAAAACATCCAGGACTACTTTAATCCAGCCACTCTGCCTCTCACGCAGCACCTGCTAGCGATGTAAGTCATTCTCCACGGGGCCATGATTCAGTGGGAACATGAAAATGCAGCAAAAGCACATCCCATAAATGTTGCCAACAAAATTTTAATTGTCTTTCAGAGACTGTGAGATTACTGTCAGTAGTTGGAAATTAAAAGAGAAAGGGAAGTAAGCCTTGTTTCCCATCAACCGCCCATTCACCCATCTGGCTGTTGACTGTGGTTGGGCTAATGATGTGACTGCAGATTTGTTCCATTCGCCTTAAGGAGCAAGAGTGTGGGGTTGTTTATCCATCTGTACTTTTTTGCCCCAAATTATTCAACACTTAAAGGAATAATTTTACAGTATCAAAGTATCATGTTGTGCACTTTAAATTTAATGTTATATGTCAGATTTATTCAATTAAAAATACTTAATAATTTTACAGCTTGATTCCAGTATGTATATTGGTACCAATTTTATTCTTTTTTTGGTAATTTTTATTTTAAAGATTTTATTTATTTATTTTTAGAGAGGGAATGGAAGGAGAAAGAGAGAGAGAAACATCAATATGCGGTTGCTGGGGGTCATGGCCTGCAACCCAGGCATGTACCCTGATTGGGAATCGAACCTGCGACACTTTGGTTTGTAGCCCGCACTCAATCCACTGAGCTATGCCAGCCAGGGCCCAATTTTATTCTTGATATAACTTATATCTCATTTTTAATTTCTCAAGCACCATACCCCCTTTAAAAAATTGGAAGTGATATTTTATTAAGCTAATTAAAATGACAAAAAGCTAGTTCCAGATTTAGAATGTTATGATCTGTTTGGTGGTGTTTCATTTTTCTCACTTCATTGAAGTCTTGTGTAAAAAAAAAAATCCATATTCCAATATGTGTTTTTCCTACTTTGAAATAAATTCAGTCTTTATAGAACTAAAGCCAATTAATTTCTTGACAGTTTTACTTGAAACAGAGGCTATATTGGCCCTTGCTCAGTTGTTTAGAGCATCATCTAGATACACCAAGGTTGTGGGTTTGATCCCCAGTCAGGGCACCTACAGGAGTCAGCCAATTAAATAAAACATCAAATCTATGTTTCTGTCTCCTTCCCTCACTCCTTCCCTTCCTCTCTCAAAAAAAGAAAAAACCTGAAAAGAAACAGAGGCTACATTAATTATCTAAGCCAGCTCACATAAAAAAGCATGGGCTTCAGTGTTGGTATAACACTTAAGTAGCTGTATGCTTTCTGGGAAGAACGTGTAATATTTTCTGTATTTTTGTTGGGGTAAATTAACTACTTCCTAGTATTGTTGTGTAGATTACAACAAATAATATATGCAGTGCTTAGCATAGTGTCTACACGTAGTAGGTATTCTACAAATGTCAGTTCCTGTCTCTCCTGCCCTCCTCCAAATTGGAGTGTACACGCTTTTGTGCCTACAAAAAGATGTCCTCTGTGATGGTTGTAAAGTGAACTCACCTATTTCAAAAGCCCCTCATTTATCTCTGATTTTATTTGCTGCCCTTCTATTAGGTCATCGTCAATTGCAGTTAGCAACAAGAGAGTGGATAGAAGAAAATTTATCCCTCCAGCCTTCTCAAATACCAACACAAAACGTGACCTGCCCAGCCTAGAAGCAGCATTGCAGTTAGCTAACGAATTAATCGAGACACACAAATTAAACGAGGATCAAGCTACAGCTCTCACCCAGATAGCTCGAATGGTGGCGTCACACGGACGTGCCGAGGAAGGGAAGGGGCCGCACACCTGCACCCTCCCCATCACCATCGTCCACGGTGAGGAGCAGGGAGAGCCACCAACACCGGGCTGTGTGTAACCCTCCGTCACCCAGTCTCCTGCTCAGAACCTGATTGGAAACCCGCCTCTGTAACTTGGTCTGCTCCTCTGTCACTTCCCAGTCAAGCACAGTTCCAGAAGAACTAATGAGATGCTTTGAGGCCGCTTTAGAAAGCTATAAGCAGCACATGAGCGATGAGAAGCGCTGTGCACCCATCACTAGAGTATCCAGATGTCTGTGTGTCGCTGTCACGGTGGACGTCACCTCGGATGAGCAAGGCCTTTATTAACTCCTGGTCGGCTCACTTCCCCAGCGTCCCCACAGCTGTCCCAAACCTTCCTTCGTCTTGTAGCTGAGCTGGCCCCCGCCCTATGCCCTGAAAGTGATCTTTCCTCCAACATAGGAAGATGCAGATCAAAACAACCTCCACTGCTCCTGCGCTTTCTATTCCTGCCCCTGGATTCTGTCCCCGTGGAGGAGCTTTACTCTCCATCTGGTTCAGTTCCCTCCTCAGCATCTTTCCTCTCTCAGAAGTCCACCCCAAAGCAGATCTGACTTTCTGTCCTGTTGACCGAGCTAGGCACCAAGGACTCATCCTAACTTAATCTTTCTCGCTAGATGAAGTGCCTTTCTCTTAATCCCCCTCCTCCCTGTCCTGTTCCTCTGCTGCCCCATCAGATGGCTCACTGAGATGTGTCACTTCCTTGTTTCTGTCCTTCATGGTGATCCTCTCCAGTTCCCTCAATCCAACCCTCTACCTACCTCCTCAGTCCCAGTGGGTGAGGTCGGGCTCTAGTCAGTCTTGGGTGGAGACGGAAAGTGCGCTCCCAGAGCCAGGGGGCAGCTGACTTGTACAGACTGAGGTCCCTGCCCCTGACCCATGACCGAGCCATCCTCGTGCAAATGAGGACTCCAAATTCTTACAGTTTGGTCCAAAAGGCACTGTCCTAATTGGTCAGAATAGAACTGCTATGATTGGTCAGTTATGGCTGCACGTCTCCTGATTAGACAGGGAAAGCTTCAGTCCCATTGGTTGAAACAGGATTCCAGGAGCTCCCCTGCAAGGGCGGCTCCGAGGGCAGGAACCCTGTGCCGCTGCTCCCTGCCGTGCAGTGTGCGGCTGGGCCCCCGTGCAGAGACTGCTGCGGGCTCTGTTTGTTCCCTGGGGCCCAGTTGTCCACCAGTTTCCCTTCGTATAGGTGCCTTCCTTCTCAGGGTTCACACTTTATATTTCTAAAATGCAATCTGAAAAACTAGTTGTTCCAAAACACAATCTGATTAAGTCAATTCCACTGCTTAAGATCCTTCAGTAACTTCCCCTGGCCCTCAGGGCAAATTCCATTTTTTAGCCATATCAAGCAGAACTCTTCTGACTTGCCCCCTTGCCTACCTTGTCAGCCTCTGCCTAGAGCGACCCTTTCTTTCTGGATCTGGATGTCTTACTTTGGGAGATAAGTTCTGCTACTTCCTGTTTTAAGAAGCATTGCCACCCCTACCAAACCAGAGAGAAGTGCTTTCTCTGATACAATCACAATGTTTCCTACCATGTTAATAACTTCTTACTAAATTTACTGGGGTAACAGTAATAGCATTATATAAGTTTCAAGTATACACGACTATCGCTTGACATCTGTGTGCGGTATTGCGTGCATGCGAGCCTCCCAAAGTCTAGTTACCTTCCATCCACACCCTTGACCCCCTTTGCCCACTGCTCCCTCCCAACCATGTGGTTTTATTATTGTTCCTTTCCTTGTCTGTCTTCCTAAGTGCATGGTGGTCTCACTAAGAGGTCTTCTGGTTATTTATCCCTGTGTTAAGCACATACTGGGCACTCTGCTAATGGTTTGTTTTTTTTTTAGATAAATTAGTTAAATAAAAGAGAGAGGAAGATAAATTATTTCTTGTGCTTTCAGAAATTTGCTTACAATATTCCCTTTATTTTTTTCTCCTGCTTCCAAATAATTAGGTGTTTTTGGAGCAGGAAAGAGCTATTTGTTGGCAGTGGTGATTTTGTTTTTTGTGCAGCTGTTTGAAAAGAGTGAAGCTCCTACAGTTGGAAATGCAAGACCATGGAAACTTCTAGTTTCTTCTTCCACGAATGTAGCTGTTGACAGAGTACTGCTTGGGTGGGTACGACACGTGTGTTTAAGGCTCGTGCTTTAGGGTTACTGTTGAGAGAGGTACTCTCTGCTTCGGGCCTGGTGCTGGGTTTGCCAGAAATGCAGGGTCTTGGTCTCCAGTTGGAGCAATAGCCAGGAGACACTAACCAGCTAACCTACTAGTCTGTAAGTTGGAGAAACTCAAATGTCAAACCTGACAGTTTTGGCACAAGGGTGGGGGGCTTGTGTAAAAATCCGAATTCAGCCAGGAGCACGTAGGGCTGAGAGGTGTACCCCCACTGGGATGCTGAGGACTCGGAGCCCTGATGGCCCTTATCCAGGACAGGCCCCAGGGTCACGTGGGCAGCTGGCAGCCTTGACTGACGGCTGGTGTCTCCTGGGACAAAGAGCTTTGCTCACTGCTTGAGCTAGGGTTCCCCAAGCTCAGTGTTCCTCGTACAGCTCACGTGCAGGCTCCCTCTGGACCCCTCCCCTGCCCCTACAGGACTTGGGGACCCAGGGGGCCAGTGCAGATGGGGTCTCTGGCTGGCCCCAGTGCCACGAGCGGGAGCCCTTGTCTCTGGGTCTGTTACCAGGGAAGGAGCTGAGGTGCAGATGTAGGAGCCCATGACAGTAAAACAGCTGAATTAGGGTTTTGGTTTCGATAAGGAGGCTCTGAAGGCAGTAACACGAGCTGTTCTGCAGATACAAAGTTTTTGTGATTTTTAAAAATTTTATTTAGAATGCAAAGAAGATGTTACAAGTACTTTACCAATATTCTAGTCCAAGGGTGTCAAACTCATTTTCACCAGGGGCCACATCAGCCTTGCAGTTGCCTTCAGAGGGCTGAATGTAATTTCAAATCCTTAACAGTTAAGGAGTAGTTACATTTATATAGTCCTAAAGTTATTAATGATCTCAATGTCAGCATAAATGACAAAGTTTAATTAGGAGGAATAATTTTTATGTGTAAGTGTAGGCTTTTAAAAACTAACTTATAATTACATTAGTTAATGCTTATGGTAAAAAATATGCAGTCTGTACAGGTATTGTATTTCTTTACATTTTTTTATACATACACACATTTTGTTTTCCAAACTTAGTATAAACAGTATATATTGTTTTGTGTTCTTTTAAATCTTCTTAGAAAACATAATTTTTGTAGCTCTATTATATGCCATGATTTGCTTATACCATACTTTAAGCAATATTTGATCAGTCAGTTCTTTCTAAATTTTTCCCATTGTAAATAATATTGTGACACAGATCCTTAAACATAAATCTTTATTTCCACTTCTGATTTTTTTCTTAGGAAAAAGTCCCTGCCCTAGAATAAAAGACAGGGACATACTTTGCAAGCCTGACCTTCAGAAAGGTTCTGCCAGGGTGCAGCGCCCCAACACTTAATGAGCCCTCACGGAAGAGAATGCGTGTTTTGAAATTCTCTATAAGATGCATCACAGTGAGAACTTAGCCACTGTGCATTTACTTTGAGTTCAGGCATTTCACATTGAATTATATGGCTGTAAAGTATATTGTCACACAACATTAATTTTAATAACACAAGTATTATATGAAACTTTGTTTCATACTCTACTTTCTAAATAATTGGAATCTATTTTACTATGTTTTGTTTAAAGGCTTCTCAGTCTTGGATTTGAAAAATTTGTCCGAGTCGGGAGTATCAGGAAGATCGCCAAGCCGGTTTTACCTTACAGGTGAGAATGCTCCGCTCCAGAAGTCACAGGGTGTTCACAGGAGTGCGATGATGTTACAGGACTCTTACCTTAAATCTGGTTTCTGTAGAGGAGCAGAGAAAGTTTCTTGGTTAACTTGGGAAATCTGTATTTAACTTTTTTGGAATATTACAAAAATGGAATAAAGAGGGAGACTCTTTTATGTCAACCTTTTTCAGCTTGCATGCTGGCTCAGAGAATGCAAACGAGCAACTGAAAGAGCTGCATGCGCTGATGAGAGAAGACCTGAGCCCCGTGGACAGAGTCCACGTGAGGAGGAGCATCGAGCAGCACAAGCTGGGCACCAACAGGACCCTGCTGAAGCAGGTGAGGGGACCCGGCCTCAGCTCGGCTCTTCACAGAACCCGTTTGGACCCTCCTCCTCCTCCTGCCGATGGGGAGTACTCCCTGTGAAGGACACAGCCGGCCTCGATAGCTTACATTTCACCGAGGTGTGAGTTTGTCCGGCTCACCGCCACTGAGTCTCCTTTTCCCTGTCTCCCTGTTTATCTTTTCTTAGTCTTAGAGAGGAAAGTGAAGAGGTGGGAATATATCCCTGGCAAGTTAAGTGAAACTTGATTTTTTTTTTTTAGGAGAAATAGAGGGAGAGAAGGTCTGACCCTGGCAATATGTCCAAGTGACATTTGTCTTTGGTGCTCCCTCGAAAGCCACTCTCAAGGGTCCGTCTGCGCCCAGGAGTCCTGGGGCCCAGACCATGTCCTAGGTGTCGGGAGCCACAGCAGGGCCCGTGGGGCTGTACTTTGTCCAGCTCTGGTGCGAGGCAGCCCGGGGCCAGAGGGGAGGAGACAGCAGTCCCTGGAGAGCTTGGGGAGAGCGGGGAGATGCAGGGAAAGAGGGCTGGGGGCTGTTGGACCATGTGGCCGTTGCTCACTGTCTGCAAGACACGTGGGGAAATCAGCCTGCGCCCGACCCTGTATTGGTCAGCGGTGGCTGAAATAATGCTGCCTAACAAATAAAACTCCACCCTGTGGGACAACAAAGTGAAGACTCTGGGCCAGTGGGCCGGGCTTGTTCTGAGACTGCTGCCCCTGGTGGACCATCCGTCCCCTGACAGGGTGGCCGGAGTGTGGTGCGAGAGGGCATCTTCGCCACCCAGCCAGCCTCCTGGGTCAGGACACTGCCCAGTCCTGGGCGTGGGGCAGCGGGCAGGAACTCACAGCCATCTGCCACAGCTTTGGGTCCACAGTCCTCGGAAGGGTCGCACTGGCCTTCTGCTGCCGGAGCTACAGAGCCAGCTCAGCGGCCCCAGCCCGAGCCCCAGGGCTTAGCAGGGCTGTGCTCAGTCCCCGAGGACTCGCTGACCACCCCCCACCCCCCACGTCCTGTTGACGTGTGAGAAGGGCTGTTCTCTGAGGCAGTTTCCGAGGGAGATCTCCATTACTGGGATGTGTCACTCACCGGTCTCGCCTGTTCACACGTGAAAACTCTTTCAGAGTAACATTTTTAAAAAAGCTTAACAAATTTCCAGTTATGCATTTTAGACCTGATACGTTACTAAGATGACATCTTTACAGTGGAACTAATTTTTAAAAATGCTTTGTAATTGATTGCTTCCTAGCTCAATAATAAAATATTTTGTTGTCAGAGTCTCAGCAATATGATAAATTAAAAGATACAAATAATATAATTTTTTAAAGAAAAAACTTTGTTCTTTTGGTTTTTGTAGTAGATATTTCTGTAAATTAAAAACCAATTGCTTCCTGATTCACAACTTCAGCCTTCTCACCTAAGGTGGTCTTTGTCAGATTCAGTTACAGACACAAGGTGCTGAGGGACCTCGTCGAGGGCGGCGAGCAATGTTGCTTGCTGAAAGGTGTCCTCTGCTGGGTCGTTTTATTTATTTTTTTTTTAACTTCTTTTCTTAAGATTTTATTTCTTTTTAGAGAGAAGGGAAGGGAGGGAGAAAGAAAGGGAGAGAAACATCGATCACTTGCCTCTCTCACATGCCCTGTTGGAGCCGAACCCACAACCCGGGTCTGTGCCCTGACTGGGAATCGAACCAGTGACCCTTTGCTTTGCAGGATGACATTGAGCCACACCCTTCAGGGCTCTGCTTGGTCACTTTAAAGGAACTGAGTGTTTAAAGGAATGGAGGTTCTAATATAAAAGTAGCTTTAGGATTTCTGTTTTGTAAAGAAAGAAAACCTACCTGACAGAGGGTTATGTATGTGATGAATGTTATTTACCATCAAAGAAAACAGTGTTGATAACATTTTCCTGTCTCATTCACAAGACCTCTGGAGGGAGTGTCTAATTGTAAAGCATATTTTTGTCAGTCACATTTGTTGATAGAAGATATGGTCATTGATTTTCCTCTTTTACATATTTCATTCTAGAGATTAAATATTAGCTTTTATCAGGCTTTTGCCTTGAGGATAATGCTGTTCTGGCAGAGTATTTACGGCTGTGAGGGTCGGATAAACTTACAGCTGCTGTACAAGTGCACTGAATACACTTCTGAGTCGCGAGTGCACTAGACAGCCAGGCCGAGGCTGCTGGTCGCAAGTCCAATGCGCTTCGTGGAGAACGTTGGCCTGTGCTGTGTTTGTTCAGCCTCACCAAGGAGGACAGATGATGTATGTTATGCTTGACGTCTTTAAAATCTTGGGTGTAAAAACGTGCCTTTCGTTCTTATTAATAGGCTGTGGCTTAAGTAGCTGTGTCCTGGGATTTCCACTTCTTATGTGGAGGTAGTGACTGTGTGGCCATAGTGACTCTTGGTTTCTGATCACCAGCCATCACCACCGACAAGTTCTAATCTCACTGCAAATCTTTGGAAAATACAGCCTCTCGTTCTTCAAGTAGTTGACAGTGACAGCGTTCTCCCTGTCCTGCAGGTCCGCGTGGTCGGAGCCACCTGTGCGGCCTGCCCTTTCCCGTGCATGGACGGCCTCCGGTTCCCCGTGGTGGTGCTGGACGAGTGCAGCCAGATGACCGAGCCGGCCTCGCTCCTGCCTGTCGCACGGTAATCCCGGCCCTTTCCGAGGGCGCGCGGGTGTCACAGCTGCGTCAGACACCTCCTCGGTCCAAACCCTTGCCGGCATTTGTGACAACTCTAGCAGTTCAGGCCCTAAACTGATTGTTTCTTAGAACGCAGAGGGAAATTTGGGGGTTAATGAATCAAACTTTTGTTAGATCGCAGTTTAGAAGTCCGATGACGTGACCCTTAAAGCTGGGTCACTCCCGAGCCGGGCGGACCCTCCCAGAGCCTCGCGGGCCCCTCCCTGGGCGAGAGGGGCCTCTTGGGCCTTTGTCCGAGACTCAGCTCCTTCAGCTGCCTCCACAGAACTCCCGTGTTTACTTTCTGAAGATGAATCTTAGATGATGGTGGTATATAAAGTATATGAAGAAAACAAGTTGAAAATTAAAATTTGTCTTAGAGTTTAGGGGACTATGAAGTCTAAGCTCTGAAACATTGTGCTTTTAGAGCGTCTCTCACTGAAGGCTCTGGAAGGCGGCAGATGAGTCCCGGCCTCAGCAGGCCTGTCCCCGGGGGAGGCGGGTGCTGGTCCCGGTCGACAGGGCTGGCAGGATCGGTGGGTCCCGACCACGGGCTTTCACTATTTCGACCGGCCCGTCCTGAGCAAACGAGGGGGCATGGGTACCCCTGCCTGGGAGCGAGGGGTGGAGAAACTGGAAGGTCCTGCAAGGAGGGGGGGAGGTTCGCTTTGGAGCACCCTCTGTACACGAAACACGTCACGTATGTGCTTCCTGAAGTCCTCACAGCAGCCATGCAAGGCACTTTCATGTACAGGTTACTGGTAGAATGTGAAGCTTGTGGAGATTAAATAACTTGCCGTGTCCATAGAATATAACAGAGCTAAGATTTGAATATAGGTTTTTGAAATGGGGGTTCCCATGCCGAATTCCAACCTGGTACTGGGAGGGGTTCCCCACCACCAAGTGATTCTCTGATACCAGCAGGGTATCCAGGAACTCAGCTCAGTTCCAACACTGTGTCCCGGGGACAGCCCCAGACCCGCAGGGTAAGGGCTCAGTCCTGCAAGACCCCACTTCAGGCGCCAGCCGCAGCCCTGGGCTTCTGACCACCTGGGTGCACACTGGGAGTTCCGGTGACCCCTCCAGCTCCAGGACGATCACAAGTCTAAGTTGTCACCTGGACTTCTGAGCAGCTGGCTGTGAATCTGAGGTTCCCGTGGTCCCCCAACCCCCCACCTCAGCCTTGGGTTCCATTAGTTTGCCAGAGAGGCTCACGGAGCTCGGAGGAACACATTAGCCCCTGGGTTGCGGCTGCCGGTGAAAGGAGGTAAGTCGGAGCAGCCGGGTGGAGAGCGAGATGCACGGGACAGACAAGGTGTGGGGGGCACGGAGCCTCTGAGCCCTCTCTGGCCTCCACTCGACCGGGTCTCCCCGGGGTCGCCAGCCCGGAAGCTCGGGACCCTCATGCTTTTGCGGAGGACTCATCACCCAGGTGCGATCAACTCCCCAGCCAGTGGTGACGGGTCCACTCCAGCCCCTCGCCCCTCCCTGGGGGTCAGACCGAAAGTTCCATCCCTTCAGTCACATGGTTGCCCTGGCAACCAGCCCCATCCTCAGGTGCTTTGCAGAAAGTTGCCTCATTCACAGAACAAAAGGCCTTGGTCACTTCAGGGTTTCTGGGGCTGGGAGCCAGGAATTGTGGATGAAGACCAATATGTGTGACAAACAGATTTTAGTTAATCTCAAGGACCAAGTATATATTTCTTATAAATTACAATATTGTAGTTTTTCTATAAAACTTGGGCATTTTCCCTGTCTTACTCCTGTTTGGAAGACATAAGCCCCTGAGAGCTGAATGTACTTCATCCTAAAGCAAGAGTTGAAGCCAAGTGACTTCTAAGAAAGCTTCTAAGTCTACATTTAAGATCCTAAAAGCCGTTGTTTCTCCACATGTGTTCTGTGGAACATGGGTTCCACGCAGAGACAGGGGACACTCAGTAGGCTTTATGTGGAAAACCATAAAGTTAATAGAAAGGGTTTCTTTACTGTGGAACTGCTCCACCATTTAATTTATGTATTAGCACTGTTAAGCCTTGTTCTCAGAGTGGTGGTGGTGTTCGAAGCCTTTGAAATGCATTTTAGAAAACAGTGCCGTGCCCTGGCTGATGTGACTCAGTGGATCGAGTGCTTGCCTACAAGCCACGGGGTCACCAGTTTGATTCCCAGTCAGGGCACGTGCCTGGGTTGTGGGCCAGGGCCCCAGTAGAGGGTATGCAAGAGGCAACCACACACGGATGTTTCCCTCTCTTTCTCCCACCCTTTCCCTCTGCCTAAAAATACATTTAAAAAAGAAGAAAGAAAATAGTGCCATAAGTGTCAGTGCAAGCTTTTCCTGTTGCTTGGGCTAACTTGGAATTCTGTTTTTCAGGTTTGAGTGTGAAAAGCTGATTCTTGTTGGAGATCCCAAACAGCTTCCTCCCACTGTTCAGGGATCCGATGCAGCTCATGAACACGGATTGGAACAGACTCTTTTCGATCGACTTTGCTTAATGGTACTGCTGCTAAACTCACACAGAACTACCACTGACTGGTTACACATGGCGTAGGCTGACGGGAAATGAAAATATTCCCACCAGCTTAACTGGAGTTGTTTAGAAAGCACTCACCTCAAAGATAAGTAGAACCCCGTAATTTAAGTTCCCTTTGTAAAATGTCTTTCTCCTGTGTATTTTAGTAGTAAATAGAAAGCATATTGACTTTGCTCTAAAATAAAATAAAACTATAATCTATTATCTATGTCCCTTGTCTACTTCACATTTAAATTATTTATAATTAATCGTTGTTATATTTTTAATGGAGGTGATGTTCACGTGACATAAAATCAGCCTTCTCAAAGTGAGTGAGCAGCATTTCCTACGTTCATAACGCTGTGCGGCCACGGCCTGCCTCTGCCTAGAGGCAGGCTTCCCCAACGCACCATCCCCCAGAATAAACCCCACACCAGGCAGCAGCTCCCCCTGCCCCCGGCAGCCTCCCGCCTGCTCCCAGGCCGTGTGGGCTGGTCCCTCTGGACCTCTTGCATCTGGCTTCATTCACCTAGCATGTTTTCGAGGTTCACCCACATTGTAGCACGTTTTAATACTCAGTTACATCACAGTCACCGTTACGCGAGGGGGTACGTCCCGAGACCCCAGTGGACGCTGCAGATGCGAGCCCCGCACGGACTGGGCGTTTGCTCTGCACACACGCACACACCGTCTGGCTTCTCTGGGCCATAGCTGGATTGCCAGCATCGCTGCTCTTGTACTTTGGAGCCCTTATTAAGAAAGTCGGGGTGACTCGAACACGAGCCCTGTGATACCGTGACAGCCCACCTGACTGATAACTGAGACTGCTGAGGGACTGACGGCAGTAGTGTCCACAGGGCGGACGCGCTGGGCAGAGGGAGGACTCACGCCGGTGGGACAGGTCAGGAGGGTGCGCGATTCCTCCACCCGGTCACTGGATAGTGAGTCCAAGGCCCGGCATGTGACGTAATAGTAACTTACCATGACGATATTTTTAGTAATTAAAAATATTTATTTACAGTCTACTTTATTCATTTACTAAGTACAATGTGGCAATATTTTTAACTTTTAAAATATATCTTTTTTCCCCTTCAGAAAATAATGCTGTTTCAAGTTCCTATTTTTCTGCATTTAAATGTCTTAGGGTCACAAGCCGGTTGTGCTGAGGACCCAGTACCGATGCCACCCTGCAATCACCGCCGTCGCTAACGACCTGTTTTATGGCGGGACCCTCAGGAACGGCGTGTCGGAGACGGAGCGGAGCCCACTGCTGGGGTGGCTCCCCACCCTGTGTTTCTACAATGTGCAAGGACAAGAGCAGGTGCCTGGTGCAGCGTGGCTGCGAGTCAACCCCGCTTAGTGTCCTGGCTTAATTTTATGGCTGCTGTTTGTATGGTTTTCTTGGTCTTTCCCAGACTTTCTGGGAAATGTAATTTCGGATCTGTTTTTCATTCCAGATTGAAGGAGGTAACAGCTTTCACAATGTGGCAGAAGCTGCTTTCACGCTGACACTGATTCAATCACTGGTTGCGGGTGGAGTGGCGGGCTCTGAGATCGGGGTGATAACGCTGTACAGAGCCCAGGTGTGCAAGGTGTGTGTTGCATCTCTGACTTTACTGGGCATTAAATAGTATCATTTTCCAGCACAGGGCTTGATATTATATTTGTAATGGTTTGGTTTGGTGCTTGAAAACTTTTGGGACCATAATTAATTTATTCAGAAGAAACATTCTAATTAGTGTCTGGTCTGGCTTTTTTTTTCTGTATAATTAAATGTAAACTTAACAAGGTTTAATTAAATTCAGTTTACAGCTGTTGGGGCAAAAATGCAAATAAACAAATTAGAGGGAAGAAAATGTGCTGTGTGCTCTGTGTTTTTGGACAGGTGGGACTGACTCTCTGTTTTCCCAAATGGTCTCTCATGATTATTTCATTTTATCAGTAAGTCAAAGATAGATACCAGATATTAATATGTATATGAGCCAATGACTTGTGACACGTTATTTTATTTTTAATTTTTTAAGAGTTTTTCATGTTTCATTATCAGTGTACTAATTCTAAATTAGCGTATCCAAGCCAGCTTCCCAGCATCAGGTAAATCAACACCTGTCAGCCTGTTTCATGATTTATAGTGTCACCTAGTTACTTATTTGTCATTTTAGAAACTAGGCAAACCCTTGCGAGCCCTGGAAGAGAGTGAAATTTCCGCTCGGGCTAAGCTGAAGGGGTCACTGCGAGGGCTCCGGCTTCGTGCCGCCTGCCCCTGCGCACGTGGTCACCGTCCTCTCGCCCACAGCTGTGCCACTCGCTCAGGGCTGTGGCCTCGGACCAGCCAGGCCTGCGGGCCGTGCAGGTGTCCACGGTGGACGCCTTCCAGGGAGCAGAGAGGGAGGTCATCATCCTGTCCTGTGTGCGGACCAGACAGGTGGGCTTCATCGACTCAGAAAGGAGGGTGAACGTGGCCTTGACCAGAGGGAGGAGGCACTTACTCATCGTGGGGAACCTGGCCTGTCTGAGGAGAAACCGGCTCTGGGGCCGTGTGATCCAGCACTGTGAAGGTAAAGCCAAGAGCTATAGGGGTCAAGCATTTTGAACTAAAATTGGCTTTGGATGGAGCGGGGCAGTGCTGACGTGGCCACGCTGGGAGGTGAGGAAAGGGCTGGTTTGGGGCCCACTGTGAAAGTCGTCACCTCACAGCTTGTGTCTCTTTAGGAAGGGAAGGTGGGCTGCAGCACGCCAGCCAGTGTGAACCACAGCTGCGCCAGCTCCTTCAGGACCGCTCTGGACACCACGCAGCAGAAAAGCAGAAGAAGAAGAGAGGGCACGACAAACCTGAAGATACCTCTCATTCACAAAAAGGCGTAGAGCCTTCGTGTTTGTAGAAACTCAAGCTCATTCCACACTGTACGTTTTCCATGTTTTTATTACCCCAAACCCCTAGTTGTCAAAAGTGCTTTATGATATTTAAATAACATTAAACAAAGGCATGCGAAATTTGCTCTTCAAGGAGTATACATTATTTATATTGATATAAGCATATGTTGAATGTAGTACAAAATCTTACTAATAAAAATGAGTAAAAGTTCTTGTAAAAATTAAGAATTCTGCCAAAAACAATTATACAAGGGGCAGGGGAGAAAGCCTTCATGGCTTTTTCAGTGTAATTTTAAATTAAGTGAAGATTTCAGAAGCTCACCTACTAGAACATCCACATAGTTATACCAAGATGTTCCTTCTGAGTGACAGCTCTATCAGAGTGTCTTAAATCTTATGCCCTATCATTTTATAACTAAGACATATTCACGATAAAAAATTTAACAAGTACAAAAAGAAGAAAAACACTGGAAGTCCACCCTGGAGATGCGGAGCCAGGGGCCGGGCCTGTGAGGGTTGTGGGGCGCATGAATGAGGGGCGAACAATTGGACGACCACCTTCGCTTTATTTTCTTCTAGCTCTTTTCCTATGTGTTCATTTGCCTAGTAATTATTGGTATAGATAGTATATAATGGATTTTTAAATTATTTATTATACATTGTGCATGTAGAAAATCATTGCTGACTTATTGCCTGTCTTTTTTCTATGCTTATATTCTGTATGTGAGTAAACTAAACAATTTGTCGTGATTTTGAGATATTAACAAGGGAGCATTGACTCATCCCACATGGAAAAATGGCCAAGGCTTGATAATAATCGATTATCAATGCAGTCCTTACCCATTAACAAAATCTGCTATCCAAGTCACTCAATATTCATCTTAAAGATGTGGAAAACGGCTTACTTGAATTACTTCGCAATAAAATTGACAAGTGTACCTCTTTAAAACCAGGACTTGTTTCGTGAGCCTCTGTCCCCGTCCCAAATGCCGACCAACTGTGGCCCAGGTGCTGCTGCCCCCGCCCACCTACCACGTGTCTCAAGCGTCTGACCGGCCCACGCAGGCGCCCGTGGCCCGAGTTCTGTCCCAGCTGCCCCTGCGCACCACCTCCTTTGGAGTTAGTTCCCAGCTAGCTGGAGCTGGGTCTCGGGCTTTTTTCCCAAGAAGAGTCTGTGGATAGGACACATTGGCGTCTGCCGGGTGAGGGCATGTCTGTCGCGTCCCTTAGGGCACTCGCTGCGTGAGCACGAGTGGCATGTCCCCAGCACAGTCACACAGGTGAGGGGGATGCTTTGCTCTTCAGAGACCTGGTGAGGGGAGCCAGGGAGCTGCTGACGTCCTCAGAGGTTAAGTGTGATCCATCGAGGGACACGGGTGCCAGTCGTGGTGGCTGATTTGTGATGCGTGCTGAGCAGAGCCCTACTAGCTGAACCCTGAACGCTAGCACGGCCTTTATTTCTACTTTCAGAAAGAAAGCCCATGACAATACTGGACATGGAAAATCAGCAAATTCCAGGCCAATGCCTGCTCTGTCTATTCTCTCACATTTCACCGTTGGGTAGACACAAATTGAATTTTTAGGAGTGTCCCATTCAGTAAACAACAGTAAAATTCCTCGTGATCTTACACGGTACTCAAAGTAACAGGCCAGTGCTACCATGAGAGCTGTTGCCTGTCTGTACACAGCAGTGGCGTGGGAACAGTGGTCTCGCCTGTGGTGCTCAGTGGTACAGTCACACAAGAACGCTCTAGATTTGTATCTGTGGAAAAGGTCTCTGCATCACACAGATGGAATGAAATTGTAGGCTTTAATCTATTCATCGGTTGCCTTTTTGCTTTGCAGGGTATGTGTGTTAGGCTTTTTTTTAAGATTCTTTCAAAACATGACATTAAACCCTAGTGAGGACAGGACCTTTCCCCAGTTTATAAATGAGGAAGCCAAGGCTCAGAGAAATCGAACCTGCCAGAAGGAGCGCCAGCAGGGCGGGACCCAGTCCCATCGCCAGGCTCTCCTGCCCAACCGCACACAAGCCTCGGACGCCAGGTCCACAGCCCTCACAGACCCAGACACCCACTTCGCAAGGAGTTACCTTGGTCTCTTTATTACGTAACAATGTGTTAACTGTTTATTTGTAGAACCTCCATCCTTCCGAGTGAGTGTCGCTGGAGGAACGGAAGGGTGGGCTTTCCTTGGACGGTCTCCATTGGCTGCTGGAAGACCCATTTTGCTACTTATTGAAACAAAAACTGATTGTTAACAAAAATGTATTAAAAGCTAAGCTGGTGATTCTCTTATCAAAAATTGATTTTAAAATAATACATTTTCATGCTCATCTCTGTAGCCCGCCCTGTCCTTATGAATATACACTTCAATATTTGAGTTACTTGAGAAAAATTGTCATTTAAAGTCTGAGATTATGAAGCCCAGCTTGAAACTTCATAATAAAACATAACTTTTAGTGTCCTTTAATATTTGAACAGAAAGACTATTTGAGTTGGAGATGCCAAAGCAAATCCCAAAGGCTGCCTGCCCTTGACTGTTTAATCTGAAGACAGCTGTGAAATAGCTTTGCATTAACTCAATTCTTTTATATTAAATAAGAATAAAAAGGAAATTGGTGATTTACTTGACAGATACTGGACCCCGAAAATTAACTAATTGTTCTAGAAACATTAGCTCAACACTGATTTGAAATGCCTGCTGTGTAATTAGTCATGAGTGAAACGTATGTTTACTTCTGTTGTGTTTTTTGTTCATATCAGCGTGACTCGATTATAAAAGAAAAATACAATCCACACATCTCTGACACATCTGCGGTCCTCTTACCCTGACACACTAGTTAGGTTGGTATTTTTAAACTCTGTTAGTCTTAGTTATGGATTCTCCTTACCATTCTTTCTAATTGGGCAAATCTGGTCCAATTTGTGTTTGTGTGTGATTGTGTGTGAATGTATTGAGTTGGCAAAAGAATTCCTTTTTTTTTTTTATACAATAGCCCTACTAGTGCTTAGTTCTCTTTAACTTTATTTGAAACACTTTTGTTAGATTGTATGGTGATAGCCATCATATCAGTGTGCATTTAAAAAATGAATTTTTGTAGCCATTTTAATATTAAAGATGGAAGAAAATACACAATGTTTTCAGCATATTATACTCTGTTATTCCAAGAAAGGTAAAAACACACCTGAAATGCAGAAAAAGATTTGTGCAGTGTACAGAGAAAGTGCTGTGACACATCGAATATGTCAAAAGTGGTTTGTGAAGTTTCATGCTGGAGGTTTCTCGCTGGACGATGCTCCATGGCCCGGTGGACCATTTGAAGTTGATAGTGATCAAATTGAGACATTAATTGAGAACAATCAACATTCTACCATGCGGGAGATACCCAGCATACTAAAAATGTCAAAATCAATAAAGTTATTGGTGAACATGAGAAATGTCTTTTATTAAACAGACTTTTGGGCCAACCCGGTATGTGCGTGTGTGATCAGATGGCATCTCCCACTGGTCTGTGACTCTGCTATCACAGGCCCAGTGCTGTGAGTGGGGAATGATGGCCTCCGGCCCCACATGGTGATGTCACGCGAAGACAGAATCAGGGCCTCAGGCGGGGTGTCGTGAACAGCCATCCAGGGCGATTGTGTGTGTTTTTCCATAAAATACACATCATCATCCAGAGAGAAATCTCCAGCACAAAATTCCGCAAACCACTTTTGATACATTTGATCTGTCATAGCACCTTCTCCACAGACTAAACAAATCTTTTTTTGTGTTTCAGTTGTGTTTTTACCTTTCTTGGAATATTAAAGCATAATACACCAAAAAGATGTTGTGGATTTTCTTCCATCTTCAATATTAAAGTGGCTGCACAAAAATTCAATTTTGATAAGTTTTTCTAAATCCACGCTGATATGACAGCTGTCACAATACAATCTAACAAAAGTGTTTTAAATGAATTGAAAGACAGCTAAGTGCCACTAGAGCCAGTGTCCGGAAAAACCGAACAAACACTTTGGCCCACCCAAAAGGATGTGGCTTCATTGCTGTGACTGGTGCTGCCCAGATGCAGAGTTGCAGTAAGAGTCCCACCAAACCCCCGAGGTGCGTCAGGGTAAGGATGGCGTCTGTCAACTGGGAGAGCCGAAGGCCTAAAAGCAGAGGAAAGCAAACTCAGAATCAAACATTCTCTCGATCCTGGTGACTTTTTTAAATGGAAGCTTTAGATGCTGTATTTTGAAGCACAGAGTGAAAGGGGAGGAAGTTTTTAATCACTATTGAGGGTAGAACAAGAGGAAACATATTTGAGAAAGATAAGATGTAAAAATTGCCTGCTAGCCAGTGTTATTGAATAAGGGAACATAATACTTTGAGACATTGGTGGGGGGTGGGCGAATCTTCAGAAATCCATCAAAACCCTATGATGTGAGCTCATCCCTGGGAAAATTAGATGTGATTTACCCAAAACACAGAGAATGGCACCACTGAGCAGGTTGCCTAGCGTTGACTCTCTGTCCTACGCAACAATGTTAGTTATATGTAGTTAAAGGGAACGTTTAGGTGTTCTTATCCAAGTTACAGCACCCCAAACAGCCCGACTCCCCGGCCTCGGCGTTGACTGGGGACACGTTCATCTGTGACCTCACTCACCCGCCCAGCTGTCTCCCAGCTGAACCTCACTTCCAGTCTTTGATGATGATCTCAAGAGCCAGAAGGGCAATGCTCGTAAAGTAATAATTTCTGACTGTAAATGTTCCACATTGTTTTACTGGGAAAACACAAAGAAGAAAGTTTACCCCTGTCCAATGGCAAAAAGGCGAGCACTGTAAATACTTGTTTCCCCAGGAGGCGCCTGGTCTCTGTCCCCTCCACCGCTCACGGTACGCACGTGGTCTGCGAATCGGGGTCCTGGTAAGCACCTACCATGATTTCCAAAAATTAAATAACCATTAGAAAAACTGTAAAGTCTGCGCGTGACTTGTGCTCGCGGCAGCACTGAGTCGCGTGTGGGGCGTCTCCGTGGGTGCACGTGGGCAGCCGAGCGCGCTCAGGTGGAGGGGGGCGTTCCCCCCGGCGCGTGGAAAGGCGCAGTTGCCGGAGAAAGTG